GCCAAGATAACGAAGCGTGAGTCTGCTAATGAAAGAGCCTGTAGCAATAGGACCGCTAATTAACAGCTTCTCGGAGAGTTAATTTGAATACAAGTCGGTCCAAGTGGGTAGCTTGTACATACATATATATATATATATACAGGCCAGCTTATACGGTGTCTCCTTCGATTCCTGGTGCCGGACACAGGGCTGCCAACAGCGAGCGACTAATTTAAATACACATGTCGATGCGTGCGAAGATTGCACCTATGCCATCCACTGCGCACCAGTGATGCCAACCGATACACCTAATGGTATGCAAGTCAAGACTCCGTATACGCGTCTTCGACACGTTGTACGGTTAACCTACGCTGAACGTGTGGATATACTGGCTATGCTACTGGCTTCTGAAGGATAGAAGACGTAGTGGTCGAGGAGTGTAAAGGAGACGGTGACACGGGGATTGATAATGGAAAGAATTCAGAACTCGGTGCACAGAGGTTAGACGCCACGCCTATAGAAACCTTCCGGCTTTCTTACCATTAGAATATGTCGCATGATAAAACAGCTTGGATTTCGCTGCATTGCCGACCGAGCACTGAATTCGCTTAGAGACAACACCGAAGGATTTCTAGTGCATAAGTACTCACGTGCTCGAATGAACTTCTGTTTACTTGAACTCAACAGTAACGAAACTCCTACACTCGATTCGACCAACGTGGTTTATTGCTAAAATGATTATATTAATTTTGTCAAATCCCCTAAGAAATTGTACCTTAGCAAAGACTGACATATTTATGTATTTTTTTATTGCGTGCGAGGATACCGGTGGAACGTCGAAAGTGTGAGAACGCGATGGTAAGAAAACAGCTGTCGCGAGAACGTTCTCGATTTCGATCGGATCGCGCGATATAATTTCGAGATTAAAGTTTATTTATAAGACACGACGTCCCCCTTTGTGTCTCCTTAATGCGATAATACGTTAGCGCGTTGTTGTTAACGGCCAGTCGATCCTCTTTCGCGTACCGTAATAGCGCGATAACGCTCGTCGCCGTCCTTAGGGCTTCCCTCATCGCAGCGACAATCGCTGCCTCGTGACAGAAGCCCAGAAATTGCCATAACGAGTCTACCTATATATTATTACCAGAGATATATCACGTGTTTTTTATTTTCCCGCGATAATTAAGATCGCTGCGGCACGAGCGACAATTTTTTCTTAACACGCTAAATTGAAAACCGACCCCAATGACTGAAAACATAATAGGCCTGCTCTCGTTACCTATACTTTCTGCACTATTCGAAAGGCTCGGATTCTCGTTTACTCAAAAATATCATCCAACGAGAATGTGCACTTTTGGAAAAAGTGCAGAATGTGTACGTAACGAGGAGAACAGACTTAATGTTTCGCCGTAGAAGTAAACATGGCGGAAAGTGAAATAGCTACTTGTACAGATACGCACGTTTGGGAACGAAGGCGATACCGTGGGGATTTTACGAATTAAAGTTAAATCCTTGAAGTAACAACCCCGTCAACAGAGGGTAGATGCTGTCTGCAGCAGCAGAGATGCGATCAATATTATACTCCTCTCTTCTCCTCTCTCGCTTAGCCTCTCGGCACTCTTCGCTCCTCTCCTCGTACCAACCCCGATATCCCGACCCTCCGTGACGTCACTATCGTGGGACGCCATCTTGCCCATCAGACAACCGAGCCCTCCGTTATCGCGTACCTATATAGGTATATACCTCTACGCCCATCTCCATCGTTGCCTCTGTAGAGGCGTTAGCTGCTCTATATATCTATATACATTACCAAGACCATATATATATATATAACAATAGCTATACAGAAGGCATCTCTCCCTTCTCGAGCAAATCTACTAGTCGGCGGAACGCAAATTAACAAGATTGCCCGAGGATTCTCTGCATCCTCTCGCGCGTAAAACCACCGACGCCGCGATCCAAAGCGTCGACTGTTTTTTTTTAACCAAGAAGAACCTCACGATCCTCTCGTACAGGACGAAGTAAAATAAACGTCAGGTGATTTGGATGACAGTACCGTAGAGAGTAAGAGAATGATTAGGTCATCAAGAATTCATAATGATCATCGGTGACCATGGAGGCACCGGTTAAGCCAGTACGTGAAGCTGGACAGCTAAATAATCTTGAGTTGATATCCCACCTTGTCTAATATCAAATTACCAAGATGGCCACGGGATACGTTCGGGGCCGCATAATGGGTTATAGGAAATTGCACAATAATACGAGTGCCGTCGAGACCGCCAACGTGGATAGGGTTCCGGGGGTAGGTATACGTACTTGAACCGTTACTTGAACTCGGCCCGGGGCTCGATAATCCCGGTGCACTACCCCACACGCAGACTCTTCGCCGAAGGCGAAGCCTCCGTAACTGTAACAACCATTCTGCGCCGCTACAATGCCCTGTGCCAGAGCCCGCGCCTCGTTCACTCTGCCCTTAGCCCTATAGACCCTACACCCTGAGCCCACTACACCATCCGCAGAGTCCGGGGGCGCGTGCCCTCACAAAGCACACTTCAGGGATGACTCGAGTGCCGTAGTGGTAGTTAAGCTTTATTGTTTCAACTAATATAGAAGAAGCGCACGCTGAGACCACCGACGCGCCAATCTGACAATACGGTTCTGCTGCCGCCGGACATGGACCTGGACTGCGTTAATGGAATATAGATTTTCAATGAAAAGCCACTCCGAGCTCATTGGTCTTGTTTGATCCAGACGCTATTGTCTCTGAATTTTAATATCGCCGCAGAATCCTGTATATATCAGGTATCATCGTATACAATAGCCTAGCATATAAATGAAATCTATTATCTACCAATAATTCAGTATAGAGGATAACCTCTTACGCAATCCACTCGGCAGGTATATCTTTCAAAAATTTTCACGTGCCAATGCTCGAGCTCCGCACGTAGGAAGTGGATTGCGTAACTGATTCGTAACATATGCGACCCTCTCGTACAGGAACTATGCATGGCATCTGTAGTGCCAGCGCGTGTCACACAATGCATACTTCCCCGTAGAGGGTACTCGAATGTACTCTAGTTGTTTTATCATTATGTAGGTGGTCGCAACCACCGAGTCCATGTATCAGACCACACATCGTACCGGAATAAGCTGCACGTTAACGAGTAACTGACGTAATAAGCCATCCCCGACGCTCGACCTAGGTGTTAAGCTTTGTGCTCGACCCATAATTTCTCGTTGGGATAACTCGTAACGTTATACAAGAATGTACGGTAGTGCGATTTAAGTTATGAGGGGTTCCAACCTATCGAACATTCCAGATACCGAAGGTACGATCGTTCGCATCACTGGCACCGATGCTTCTCGTCTGTCCCGAATCGTTGGGAATAATTTGATTCGGGAACGTATTACTCCAGCCTATCTTTAGCCCATAAATCTGAGACAATATTGCGCGCTGGTACGACGCCGCCGCGTTTAGGGGGTGCAGGTTTAACGTCGCTCGCGTTACCCGAGATTATGCTGCAGCGTGTCACACCGTTGAGGAATTTATGCCTAGGCCGATATCTGCTCGCGTTTTGCATAGCTACTAACCCGCCGTAAGATTGCGTCGCATGATTAACCGTAAATTTATAATGCCCCAAGGCGAATAAATATCGTCAGGGATTAAGGCTGACGTGCACGGGGACTGCTAAAAAGTCACTAACTAGCAGTTAGTGAGGTCCCGTTGATTTTTGCACGATTTAACTCCTGGAATCTCGGACGGATCCTCCTCTCTAGGTATCTGCGTGATCGCTCCTGAACCTGACCTCTACGCACTTTTTTGAACCTGGGTAACGCGCTGTGAAAATAGCCAGTGGCTCGTACAGCGAGGATGCGAAAGAGACGGAGAGAATAATAAAAAGAAAAAAAAACGTAAATGAGTAAAATGACACGAGGAAAAAAATGGAGGAAGAATTGACACGAGTCACGAAAGCGGGGTGCGTGTGCGAGGGCGTCACGTCCTATGGATTATACCGAGCCAATCAGAAGAGAGAAGGTTGCGTGACGCGAAACAGTGTTTTCCACGCTTTGGAAAGTACCCCTCCTGCGTGAGAACTCCGACACGAGTCTACGCAAGGAGTGTCACTCTTATATAGAAATGGCTGCTTATCCTCTACGCTATACGTAATAATAATAGAGATGCTCTAAGATATATCTTATTGGTACAATTGTTTGTGTATAATTTCGAAAAGAATTTTTGAAACGGGGTCATTCCCTGTTAAAGTTCCTACCAGAGAACGACCTTCTATTCGTCGGGCAATCTCCTTGCGGAACCGGTAGGTATGGTAATCGAAGAAACATGTACCAGACCTAGCGGTGTCTTCGCTTTATCAGAAGAACATGAGTAACGTTAGGTTCATACTGAATTACTTGATGGTGGATGCTGTGCCTCTGTCTCTACTGTTATAACCTTGTATGCGCATAAAGATACTGAAGTCGATTGAGAAAAAATAATGTGATGCTGATAAAAAGGAAATTAAGCTTCCCTGTATGTTAACGATTATACAAAAATAATTAATTGACAGATAGAAAATTATAGAGACACGCTGACCACCTGTATGTGTATACCTGAGTATACAGAGGTATATGGGTATATTATATTTATATAACGCAAGCAGTTCTATATGGTATGCGGTGCATTCGAAGACAAGAACAATTAATAATTCCCTTCTGGATTCTTCGTAGATCCTTTTATATCGGTGAATTACGAAATCATTTATAAAACATAAGAGTGGACAACTTCCACTGTCAACCGGACAGCAGACTAATGGTCCCAGGAGCAAACAGATTGATCGCTCTTCTCGGGAACTAAATTAATTTCAATAACAGCCACTTCTGGCACAGATTAATATCCGCGAATGGAGTACTCGCGAGGCGTCTGCCGTTCTGCCACTTGATGCATGGAACCGGTAGCATCCATGGGACGTCTTGAACAGCGTTTATTATCTTGAACGTTCCAAAATTCTCTTTTGCTTGCTTCATTTTTTTTTTTTTTTTTTTTTTTAAAGAGGAACCAAGGTCTCTATCGCTGCTAACCTAACCTATACAACTACTTTCTAGTTCCTATACGCACAATGTTCCAGGCACTTCTATGCAAGTACGTAACACGCTACCGTGTTACTCCTACGAGTTCCGTAGTGCAGCGCGTAGAGGAGAGCAGATAATCGAGTTCGCGGTGTTCCCACATTGTTACAGCTTATGAAGCAACGGAGAAGTTGGTAGTAGGTAGAGTGGTTCTGTCTCCGGGTGATAAATGGTCGCATGCCCCGCTTCCGAGGAGCTAGTTAAGAGCGCACGTATATGTAGCCAGGGACGCCGGTAGCCGCCAATAGGCCTCGAAGTTCCTACGAATGGGTTTATAGAGAAGGTAGATAGATGTTAGAACTGAGAAGAAATTCTATGGCTACCACTAATTGGGCACCTGGATGCCACACCCTTACCTGCGCACTATACTCAGCTGCTGTCTGCACGTCAGGGTTATTCAAATTGTCCAATAAGTAAACAAACGATTTGGAGCTCTGGGATTGGTTGGAATTATGAAGTAGTCATGGACGTCAACGTGAAAAAAATTAGCCATCGTCATCATCGTCGCAGTGGTACCCCTGTGCAAAATTGAAACCATTAGAGCACCCTTATCAGGATCGTCCCATGGACCGGTATATCATTCTGGTAGGAGTATACCTAATCAATGTTATTTGGATGATCGCAGTGGACGTGTCCTCTGGTGATGTTGCTCTGGGCTCCTTCATCCTCATCCACTTGTCTTTCTTCGGTTCTACGAAAAAGCATAGCGAGAACTCGCGCAGATAATACAGGTAAGCAGTCACTTCTCATGCATCACTGATAAGATCGGAGCTTTAAACATCTATTCGTACGGAGTCTATCTGTTTAAAAGAGCCGGACTGGTTCCATTTGTTTGAAATAATGGGAGCCGCGCAGTCGATGGGTGTCGCATGATTGAAAGGTTTGTTGCAACCAGATCGCCTATCGATCGATGATTCCATTTCGGGTCTCTCGTCAGGGACCTGGCTCTCTTGAACCAAGAGCCAGGGAAGGAACCCGAATGGAAGGGTATCCAACCCTGCTTTGCTAGTACCTACACTGACTACACCGAGCAAGATCCTACGTAAGATTATGAGTGAGCGCCGAACCCATATAGCAGTGGCTTGTCTATTCTGTCGTTTAGACAGGAGATAACGATATTGAGATATTGGCTCTACTGGCTCTGATGCTGAGGTCAACGTTTGGGCCTGTTGCTCCAGATCGCATGGAAATTCTTTGGACCAATTGAAAATCTCTTGAAAATGTCATACGTCATGTGACGTCTTTTTGACTTTCACATTACCGTGTCTAAGGCTGGTAAAAACGTAGAGCTAACCGGGTTCTCCGACATCGATCACAGAAACGTCCTATGAATATGAATTTTAGGTAGGAACAAACTGCATCCCTGCCTCGTGCACCTATCAAAAACTAATCCGACCATTAGGGTGAGTTTGCTGTTCCATAAGGTTATGATGCCATTGCACAGTGGGCTCACGGGGGTGGGCGGTCTGTGTATGGGGCCAGCATAATCATAAAGCATCGATACATCAAGCTTTGCATCTATGATATGGGAACCCGTCCTGGGTCCTATGGGATACCATGTGCTAACTGTTAAGTCACAGAATTATGAAGAACCAGGATGGAAGTCACGTTTGTGGGAAAGTTTGCAGTAGCTATTGAACCACGAGTGCGTTGAAGTTTGTTAGAAAATCTAGAGAATTCTAGATCTTTTTTATTCTTCTGAAATGTTTTCCCTGACCCAAACGTCTCGGCGCGTGGCCAGAGTCCTGTAAACACTAAAGTAATAAATATTGGGCCTCTTGACGTTCGACCCTCCCGCGGTTTATTTGAATACATATCCATCTGGATAGAACCAACAGGTATCACAGCTAGGCATACCTGTAAAAACATTCTGAGGATCAAAAGTGAAGTGGCAAATTGGTACTGATCCTAGAAAAACAAACGGATGTCCCTAAGCAAATACTCGACGTGAATCCACCCCAAGTGATTCCCTGTTGACGTTGGTGACTTAGCGCCAGGTCGCGTATGCAGCCCTGTATCCAGGTTGCGTAGGGTTCCTCGCCCTGGCCAAACAGCTCCAGATCAAGGGGGGTGCGACTGGCACGTGCCGATCTCTGTGGGATCATTTAAGAGAGCGTTAAATCAAATCTAGCATGAATCCCGGGCGTTCCTCAGAATCGTCATGATTCCGTCTGATCCGACTTAGCCCCTTATTCATACCCACGTCTCTTTGCATCCAAAGAATTCGCCATTCGAGTTATCCATTATCATAATCATTTATCCAAACAAAGTCCAGACGATAAACGGGATGATATTCTCTGGCCGTAACCTCAACGTACGCTGCAGCAGCAAGTCCATGGATTATTTATGTCCAGAGTAAAGGAGTACCGCGAGCTCCAGAAAAATATACAGGGTGTGTAGCTCGGAGCCAATGCCAATCCCAGTGACGTCAAACAATATGCCGCAGAGGGTGCTTCAGCTAGCACCTCGATCCTCGCTAGGACGGCGATTTATAGGTGAGGAAGTCCGCCCTCTTTGGTATCTTCATCTCCAGGGCGGTAGGACGCAGTGGTACGTAGACCCAGAGATACGAACGGTCAGTTCCCTTCCTCCGACTGTACTCAGAGAGGAACTCCCTCTTTACTCTCCTCTTTTGCCTTCTAACCTCTAATTAATAAACGCACCGGCCACGCTCCGTGCTCCGCCCTGGGCTAATCGTATAGGTGTTACCCTGCTTGGAGATACCAATAACCAATATAGAAGTTCCTCGTCTCTACAGAGCACGGACCGGACTCCTCGTCTCCAGGTGGCATCGTTCTTCTGAAAAAGAAAATTTTCCTCAGAAACCCAAGATCCTTTATCACGTACTGATATCTTCAACTAGCACAGGTACTTACCATATTGCGCTCCGATGTACCGTCGACCAGTGATATCAGCTTAAGTAGATCCATTCTCGAGGTGAACTTGAGAGTTATAAATCAGAGACTAAACCATCCCTAACTAAATCGACTTTGTGTAACCAAACTACAGAGGGTTACCAGGGGTTGCGGTGGTTACCGGTGTGAAATGTTCCCATGGGGGGTCCTGCGCACCGAGACAAGGGCTACCCTATATTCCATTCGAGCGAGACAATATGCTTACTGTCCCTTGAATCGGGTCTGCCTCTAGGATATCTAGTCCTGCCTGTGGACACCCCTTAAAATTGTGCAAGTATCAGCGAGGGGCCGCTTTTATAAATATTACCATTCAAACGAAACTCTCAATAGGATTGTCGTTTTGGAATGGAAGGATACTTGGACGACTCGAAGAATCTCTGAAATAAAGATATTTTCTCTATCCTTCGTATTCTCGTGCTATCGCTTCCTGGACGCGGAGTCGGATGGCCGATGTACGTACAGTACCAACAGTAAGGCCGCCACTCGCTCCTAGAGAGCCTTGACAAAAACTTTGGAATTATAGTGGCTTACGTACTATATGTAAATGTTCCGCATAAAGAAAGCTAATCACAGAGGAAGCACACTCATAAATCTTACTGCCGTGTCATTCGTGAATCGCAACTCACGTAGTAATAACATCCTAGCGGAGCCACCTGAGCTGTTATTTAGGTACATTTTTGCCCGCGGCCATCACACTTCTCCTTCGGACCAAGTGTAACTGTCTATTAATTCAACAGATTATAAAGGTTCGTTTATTACCGTGACTAGGGGAGGGAGTAAGAAAAAAAAATTGAAAAAAGGAGAAAACCCACCCCACGGACCAAGAGTTCGAAGCACGTAAGAACTTTTCTTTCATAAAAAAAAAATGTCAATCATAAGCATTGAGATTTGTGCAGATCAATCCCAACTCTCCCCTATCGGACGTACGTCGGGCAACCCCAAAAATCGCTCGAGGGAGGGTGCCAGTGTTACGGCGCACATAACTAGAGTATCGGTGACAGAGTCACCCTCGAGTATCAGGATTAAAGATTAAATAACCAGCATCCCACCAACCCCTAACTTAACCGCCCTTCAAAGCCGCCGCCGTCGCTGCTGCCGCTCGAGCTTCGTACAAGTGGCACGTTCTGGGGTGTAAACGTGTGAACCTAACGAAAGTCGACGTAGGGCAAGAGAATGTAAATTCGCAAATAATAACGCGCGTTCTGCAATCTTGATAAAATCCGTCCGACTTTCATAAACGGTCATCTGAAATCCATGGCTTCTTTCTTCGTCGTGCGGATATCCGCTGGTGGTTGTTGAAGTCTGATTGCTGGTTCATCTAAAAATTAAATTGGCTTCCCTTTAATCTCTTAATAATGATCTTACGCTTATAGATAGCTACGGCAAGTCGCGCGCGTGCGTGCGAGCATCTGTTTCCTGTAGAGCACAAGCAGGCTAACCGACGGTCAAGTAATCCATTAAAACTGGCGTCGTGAGATCGTCCGTTCGGCCGGTTGGTCACCTCGCTGCTTTATTAGTATTCAAGCAGCGCGTTGATCACCTGCCCTCAGCTGTCCACTGAGCAATGACTACTGGAATCTAATTTGTTAGCCGTTAAAATTTATTTATCGATCCAATTAGCCTTAGGCATTCGGATTAACTCAGGATACTCTCTAATCGTTTGAATACCTATGTTAGCCACTGTACGGTAATTCCTGGTGCACCAGGAAAAACTTGAAAAATATATATAAAACATTTAATGGATAAATGCTCCTTCTTATCGGTAGTATCTTATTAAGGTACCCTACCACCCTTTATTACATAACCCAATACTTAAAACGTGTATCAACCGAAAGCACCTGGTAATTACATACACTCTTAACGATTATACATAACCATGATTGATCATCTATTAAATGATCGAATCTTCTGCAAGGAACAATACAGTGGCAAACTTGTACCCTGGGAATCGTGAACGCATTTTACTAATACAATAATCCCTGACAAATTCTACAAATCCCACTTGATCTTCTGTTATGAATCAAACACACGTCATCGGTATCCTTTGGCCGTGGGATTCTCATGACATATGTCGCTACAGTAATCTGCGACAATTTTAACCACGCCTGCTTATACCACTGACAATAAGGAACATTATTTCATCCCCTATTCTTTCTTATTTCCAAAATCTAGTGTATTTATAGACAACTTGTGTATTTGTAAAAGCAAAAAAAATATATACTCAACATCTCCTCAGGCATGAACTTTCATAAAAGCCATCGAATCTCATTTAATGCGTGCGCACACGCGCTCAACAAATTTATTCACGATCATACTCGGCCAATAGGAAGAGGGTCCTCGAGTAGGCAGAATAAAAGTATCGAGGTCGGCACAATGCGACAGAACCGAATCTCGACCACAGTCTGTAGCTTCGACGTCGAATCTCATTGTGCGAAATGATCGTTGTTTGTTTCCATTTTACTCACAGTCCGCTTAACGGCAACCTGGTTAACAGACAGTTTGCTGCCAGTATATTAAGAGGCGGGGGGTTGCTCCTGGATAAATGGGCTTACGAGGTGTCGAGCCGTTCGACTCTTATTGTATCCTGGACATGGGAAGTGAACATCAACCACACGATTCTCGCTCCATTAACTAGATAATGAATACGTGAAGACACGCGTACCTCTTCTACTGGAACACCGCAAGACCCGGTGCGTTCATCGGGGTCAGCCTAGGGAAATATTCCGTGGAATTGACAATTATTTTCAGACCACATTTTTTATCTTGTGTCTCGAATGATCCCTGAAAAAGAGCAAAGTTATTATCAATAAAGAAGCAATTAATATAGTCAGTTAGATCGAGACGATCGATCCTTATCGATCGTGGTTAATTTAAAGTCTCACCATCCGGTAACGAGTGTATCGTGGTATCTATACGCTCCGTTCACGAAGGGTAACCACTTCCCTGATCGTGTACAGAGTCTTATCGTAGATTCGATTTGGAGCATAAAGGACCTACGATTTAGATAAACTCCCACATCCGGCTTATCCGATCCCATTACAGAGCGTACTGTGCCATTGCACAGCATCACAATGACGCTAACAAATTGATGGGTTAATAAATAAGTAACCGAAGCCACGACAACCCTTTAGAGTTTAAATTTTATAAGGGGGTGACCCTGGTTAGTCTCGATGCGTGCCGAACGCGTGTGAAATATTCCTTCTACTACGCTATACGTGAACAGGGACAATATGCCGAGCAAGGGTGAACAGAGAATAAGGGTTGCCTATCGAATAGAGCAGTCAAGTCCCTAGTTTGCATTGCGGTGACGATACCTTTTTTATCCAAGACTGAAATATTTCATCTTATCTTATCCATAAAGAAAAGACGTCCCTAGACCAGCCCCTTAATAAAGATTCTTCCCTGCAGAGTCTATCCTCCAAAAGTACACAGCATGGACCACCATAGTTTCACCCTGTATATTGTACCAGGTAAGTCTTACAATGTTTCCTGAAAATAGATTTTGTCAGTACCAAAAAAAAATATAAAAAAAAGATGCTCATATATGCTTACGTACTTTGCATTTATTCTCATGCATGGTGTAGTGTATCCTAATGACAGGAGGCGGTCTTGTATGGATGCTCGACACTCGTCCAACGCCCTTCTTTACCATTTGAATAGTCCAATCGGCAGTGACAACTGACAACTGTAACACCATACACGATACCCATGAGAATCTCATAGTACTACAATGTATTTATAAGTACAATGAATGAAACGTGTCGATTTGATGGAACGTCTCGTTGTATAGCCGAGTTGTCTATAGCAACGTCATTAGAAGTTTATTTAATTAACAATTATAATAGTCAATATAAAATCTCTTTACAAGCAGCATCCAACGCGGCTACCGTGTAAAGCAGCGACGACGTAGCTGGGAGGTGAGAATTTCTCACGCGAGAAAAGTCAATTTGCTGGAATCAGAATTTTTTTTAGAGAGGTCACAATGCCTTTCCCACTCCGCCCATCATTTCATATTTTAAAGCGCACCCCTTTGACTAAGGGTGATTCAAAAATATACACATCCATCATCCGCGTCCGCGCCCCATTCCACCCTTTTTCCAAGGCACCTTCCCTTAACTTGGCACGCGCCATTATAATGCCCCAGCTTAACTCGCTTTAAATTTAACTACCCTTTAAAACTTTAACTACGCCTTACAAGCGAGCCAGCATTCAGACGCGTGTACGCCTTATTCGACTGCCTTTTAGGTGCTGCTCTTTATATCTTACTTATCTCGTGTCACCATAAGTACTAAAGAAAGAATTTCGGAACACCGTATACGTAGAATGTCGCAATCATATCCTCTTGAGCATTTACATATTTCTTATTAATAAAAGAAAAAAAGGACAAGCCCTATAGTAAGCTTAGAGAGCAAGAAAGACAGACCCGTGTGTAAAAGAAAGAGACAGACATACGGGTAACCTGAATCACAGCTAAATACCCTTTCACGGATATTCTAAGCAACGAACGCATTTTTGAACGTGCACAATTTTGTCAACTACTTCGTCTATCGTGACGAAAAATCTGAGGCTATAAAACTTTACATAAAAATCCTAAAAGTTCTTATGCATTCTCTATAATGCATATTAGTCTACATAAAAATAAATGATAAAATTCTTCTTCACGTATCTACACACTGTATTTTAGAATTCTCAAAGAGGGTAACTGCTTCCATAAGAATAAGAAAGAATGCGAATAACTATCATCTTACCTATAGTGCCCATAGTGCCGACTGCATTCCAGGCAAGAAGCGCAGCCCGGCCCACCTGTTTACCCCGATATGGTATTATCTATTGCCGTACACAAGCCGCTTACATATGATACGATAATGTTAAAGACAGGCATTGAGGCAATTGTCTACACCGCCCTAACCATAACTAGCTGGATATTCGTAAATCCGCTTGAGGTAGATTCTAACTTAACTTCACATTTCAGAATCCAGTGCACAATAAAAGACAAGTACATCTATCCTTACTGTGATCGAAATTTAAGATCCTGAATCCTGTTGAACTGTGGATGCAACACCAATGGGAGTTTACGTGGGAAGAAACTTTTGGTAATTGGTCCTCGTCTCGGATACATAAAGGATGCGTTAGCGAGTTACCTTTCGACATAAAGAAGAGCCTGGTAGACGCATTCGAGTTCCACAAGGCTACAGTCCCATACTCCTTCGAGAAAACAAAACGGCGTTGTTGTTCACCTAACAAGCTGCCGCGAATTCGCTTATACCTGCCCCGTCGTGCTGTTTCGCGATCCTATCGCGTTGACCTCGCGGTAAAAACCGGTGAAACTCAACGTGTATCGTCGCTCACGAATATAATGCCAGACTCGTGAAAACCGCACGAGACAGCAGCCGATATGAAATAGTTGCGGACGCCATTAAACAATATGGCCGTCTGTCGTTTGCGTTAGTTACTACGATCCCCGCTAGGGATGCGGTACATCAATTCAAAAAATACGTTCGCACATTTTATATAGAAAGCTTAGTATAATAGTGTCTTAAAAATTGTATTCTTATCGTTAATAGATTATAGGTATGTTGGATACTTACTACGCATGTATTATATCAAGATCAGCATCTCTCAACTAACTTCACTCGTTGGCGTATACAGTAAAATTATCAGACTGACGAACATCTTTTTCCGCGTTATCTATGCAAATTGACGTTTAGATTCTTACATGGCTAATATAAAGAAAGGAGTAAAGACAGCAATAGTCACATTGGAAACCACTTGCTGCGCACTCGCGCACCAGCGGTAATATATCGGTGATATTTTCGCTTATTATTCATGATGCGAAGTTGGCTGCGGTTACTCGCGGGACCGTATACCGAAGCCCAGCCAGCACCCTGCCGATATCATCGGTGATTTAACGTGAAAAAATACAGTCGGGAAGTTAGATTTACAGCAGCAACACTGAAATTACAAATACGACGTAAGTGTACGCAATAATCTACCTGTAAGTATCTATAACAATGAATCGTATAATCGTTGAATGACACCATCAAATCTTGTATACGAATTCACCGTGATAACATATCCGCGCTTGATTGGTTGACGATATGAAAATTTGTATCTTCGTCCTGATAGGTGAAATATCATCGCTCGGAAATCCTGGCTAACTCGAATAGAAATCTTGGCTATCTTCCTGGTGAACGATCGTCTTTTGGTTCAGGTAACATGCGATTCCTCGCGCTGCGCAACCGGAAATTACGTCTGGGTTTCCATCTCCGGTGTTGTGCCAAGTTACGCCTTGCGGAATTCGCGCGAGCGAGGGAACCGCGAGAGGAAAGGAGGAAGGATCTGAAAGGGAGCTAAAGAGGAAGAGAGTGAGCACGAAGGAGGCTGGAAAGCAGCAGTGGTGGTGCCGGAGTTATTAAAGTTGTAACGCCTTGCGGTTATGATATTCGCTTCTGTTTGTAATAATAACGTTTGCACGGGGAGTCAGATAAGACGAGGTTAGCGAAGGAAGCTTCTCGCAATGATTTCTTCCTCACTCTCTTTTTCTCTCTTCCTTCAGAGTTCTCATCTCGTAACATTATTAATGCAAAAATCACAGAACGAAAATACCCCATAAGCCTCGATTAAGGAATTAACACAAAAAGTAAAGGTGACATATGGAAAAGAGTTAAGTCAAAAAAATATTTATATTGTACGAGAGAAATTATAAATCTCTTTATTTTGTCAAAGTACCTACAGTTTCTTCTCAACTTGAATTTATTTGATCACGCAGGTCATGCAGTCCAGAGCGGAATTTCAAAATTCACGAGAAGCTCTGGTATTAGCAAAACGATAAATCCTCGAGCAGCATGGGGAGCACTAACGCTGAAGTCATTTCCTACAGCAAGTACCAAGTTACTGCAGCAACATCGCCAACTCCTCTCGGAGGGTAATAAAGCCATCTTGCAGAGCACCCCTCGGCACACTCCGCCCTCCGGAGGAGGCGGATAGCGATCTATACTGGTGCACCCCTCTCGCCGTTGCTAGGCAACCACTCAACCCCTTCTGCCTCGCCACCCCCCGCGAAAGCAGAGATTGCGCCCTTATCTTGCGAGATACCAAACCCTGGCCCTACCATCCTCCATCGGCTTCCTCGGCCTGGCAACTTTCGGCCTGGATTGACAGAGTAGGGTGCAATGCCATCCGATTCGATCTCCGCCAATAAAATTATCTAGCTCCGTTTAGCCACTGTACCGAGATATCCTTATGCACGAGGCAATAGATTCTCGTACTTAACGTAAATTCAAAATTATTCCATTATCTATGAGATATTTTCAAGGAAATGTTAAAAAAGAAAAAAGAATTGTCTTTCCTCTCTGAAAAAGCTCGACACTTTTTATGAATTCCTGATTCAATGCCTGACTTCATTTTCCTACTCTGACTTCATCCCTTTCGCCTCACTCTACTGGTTGGCCGCTCTTTCCGTGAATATAAATCAAAATCCCGTGCAATCCAATTTACGCCGGGGTTAAAGAATCCCTCCTTCTAGATTTGGTCGACCGGCTTCCCGCCCAAAGAATTTCCGTTCGATCTGTCTCTCGCGCTCTCCTCTCTATGGGAAGAGAGAGAGAGGGGGGGAGCCACTGAACTGATAACGGTTTGATGTATGGCCCAGTGACGTCACAGCGCGAAGGGGAACCACCAACCAAGAACAGATTACACAAATCGATAGGATTATGAACAAAGGAAAATCCAAAATGCTCGACCCTCGAGTCTTTCACTATGACGTTTCGTGAATATCTGTCAAACGTAAAAAATCGCCATAATACTTAATGCTCTAGTTCAATTCAAAAGAATTCGACTCCGACCGATACAATTATTTTTTAACTTTTCATTCTTGGCAAACTCTTTTAATGCATCGAGTCGTACTCTTGAAAAATGTTTCAAGCTTGTATATCATCGCTTCAATAATGGTTGCGTATAGCCAGTAAACGTTTTTGTTTAGTTTTCAGTCGGGTTAGATGTAAGCACAGGATGGGTAGAAGGAAGGCAGCGAGTGATTTAGTAAGATGAAAAGCCGTCCCCCTACGCCGAGGGCGTTATCTGGCGCAGACAGAGATTGCCTGTTTCTTACAAAAGCCCACCAGAGGGCAGACCTGCCCGGATCCTTCGTTACTTCTAACCGCTTCGAACCATGAGAATTTTACGTACGAGATTCTCTAACAAATACGTACGAATCCTTACCGTACTGTTTTTGCACTTTAACATTGTATACTTTACAACTTCAGTGCCACTTCAGGTAATAGACTTCGGTATAGCCAAAGTAATTGCGTGCGTGCACGTAACGTATTTTTATGACATTATCGATTTCTGTTTTTAGGTTTTGTTTTTCAACCTGACTGAATAAACCCTCACTTTCCCTCTATGAGGTCATTATCCTAAGTGGAAAGGAAAGGAAGGATAAAACAGATACTTAGAAACAGCTCATGGTAAACTAACTTGCTAAAATAGTGGGAAAACTTTTTTTTTACACAGCTAAGTATGCCAACGACGATTCCAGGGAGTAAAAGAGGGTCAGGAATAGGTGGACGTCCACGGGATAAGGAGAAGAGGCGCTTTGGGAGTTCGAATGGGATAGGGGATGATGGTTGGGTGAAAGGAAGGGAGGATTTAAAAGGAACTTTGAAAAAGAAAACCCTGCGGCAACGGCGTCACGTCATTCTCCTGGAGGAATTAAATTTTTATATCTTTCGCTGAGAGTTTGAAGGATCGAGGGTTCTTATACCTCGTGATGGTGTTTTAATTCAAAAATCAAATTCTAACCACCATTATCGAACGATCCGTTTTCACCACTCTAAATTTACGATCATCGGCATCTGTCAGTCTCATCAATTTCTCAGAACAGTTATTTTAATCGATCAACGCTTTCGCGATATTTATTCCCAATTTTTAATCTCGACCAAGAAAATAATTTTTAATTTACTAACAAGAACTCTGAATCGTAGTAAATGCCTCACTGTGAAACGAGCTTAAGGAAGCGTCGTTACGAACCCATTTCGTCCTCGTTTCGTCTTGTGATTGGATTTTAGTGCTACCGTCGGTATATCGTAGAGCACAGCGAGAGATCAGAACGATATGAAGGAATAAAAGACGAAGCGCCATCAGACGCAAGGTTCGCGAGAACAGGAAGTCAGCCAAGAACGAAGGAGGGATGGTAGTTACTTTAGAGAAAGAGCTGAAGGAAGATGAAGAAGGTGGTGAGAAGAAGGTAGAGGCTCGATCGTAAACCAGGAGGAAAACGGATAGCGTGGCGACCGGAGGCGAATAGCGTGAAGTCATAGAAGAAAGATGGCGAAGGAAAGAAGGGGAGGACGAGTGGATAGAGAAAGTCATAAACCGCGTAATCCCTCGTAAAACGTACTTTACTCCAGCCCTCCCTTCCGTCCCAACTACCATCCAGGATGCCTCTGCGATACGTGTCCTCCTAAAACTGATGTAACGGTCCTTTCTTGTAGAAAAGAGAAAGGAAAAAAAATTATCGTAGACACAGAACAAAAAAAAACGTATATTTGCGTCTCTTGAGAAAAATAATATTCTTTTAAAATATTACGTTCCTTCGGCATCTTGTCCTTATAAAGAAAAAAAAACGTAATATCTTACAGTACAGAAGCAACGATGTCATGGATACATTTTCAAACGAATTACTCTTACTTGCTACACGAATTACAAATACATTCCTTAGCAGAGTCTTCTGCTACTACTCTTGTCTATTGTTGGTTAAGGGTAGAGCGCAAGTTTGCTGAAGATCAATGCGGTAATTTCGGCTCGAGTCGAGTCTACTCGTGAGTATTGTCTGTCCCTTTCCCTCTGTTGGTTTCTGCCACTCCATCCCGGGCCACGGGGTAGAAGGGATGGAATCAAGGAGAATCAAGGAGAAAATGGACGACAGAGTAGAGCAGTGAAGGATAGGAGAAGAGAGAAGAGAAGAGAAGCAGCCATCAGATAGCTTTGGCCTTAATATCCCTCTCTGAGACCTCGGAGACGAGAGCCCAGCATCCCTTAGTCCCGTCTCTCTGTCCAGACTAGCGAACCTCCCTTATACCTATACGGTATACGTATATACATATACATAGGCATCCTCCATCCCCTGCGCGCTATCTGATTCAACCCCATGCCGTATTGCTGTCAAATCCGGTGGAAGGGAAGTTTTAGTTTGGTTTAGCTCCGTTTAGTTTCCTAGTCCCGGACTTCCATGGCAACTAGATCAGCCGAGTTTCCCTTAGCGATTTCTACGTCCATTTGATCCGACGCCATCTTCTCCTATCCTTAATACGACTTCCTTACACGCCGCTGGTCTTCCAATGGATACACTTCTTTGTTTCAGATGAGTCTTCTTCCTTGTAGTCCATGTACCGAGAGTCCGCCATCTCGTGGACTCCTCGACGCTCACCATCCCCGTGGCTTAACTGATCGGAGGAAAAAAATTTAAATATTTAATGCCATCCTTGGGTATACGTTTCGTGGATAAATATCAGCGAATACTTCTCATGCAAAGTAATCAGTCTCCCAGCTGCAGATGTACACTCGTACCTTGGGTACTGTTAACGGAAACTGAAAAGCTGGGAAACGTTACTCACATACTCGCATGATCATCACACCCCATACCACGTCATTACGTACGCAAAGCATCGATCAAATTAATCCCCGACTGTGTAAAACGTTGAACGCATGCAAAGCGGCTGTTTGCGCACGTGATTTTATCCGCGTACCCTCACAATGATATTCTAACGGTAATCACTTATCAGTCATCCTCATCTTCAGGATGCATCTCCTACGGTAGGATTTACGTTACTAATAACCTTACGGATTATTACATATACGTAAATAGCGTGTGGTTATAATCGACTTTCATTTTCTTCAACTATTTATCCAAGTCGACAGCTGTACACGAATAATTCACAAGCCCTTTACGCAGGTCGTATTAGGTAAAAATGAGGTTATGCTTCGAAAAAGACAGGTCAGGGAAAAGCTACGTGTGGCCAATGCCGGCTTTGTAGTAGCACCGAGAGATGAAGGAAGCTTTGTAGGAGGATATCGGTAAGCAGAAATCAGTAGATGGGTGGCGCCACGACCCCCTACACGTCCCTTCACTCGGTCTTTAGCATTTATGCTTGGAATCGCGTCTGTCTGCCCGAAGGCACTACTAAGAATTAGCTAACTTCATTAAAATATTACCATCAACAGGACATTGCTTTGCCGTAGCTCCTTCAACGATTCACAGTCAAGTAATCATTCCCACGTTAGCCTCTTTGAACGATCATGATAATCACGTCAATATTTCACTTGTCACCTGACGAAATTCTAACCTGTAACAACGTCGGTAACGATGTCTCCCTGCAATAAGGTACGTGTCAATTGTACGTATTAAAAAAAGATACGTAGGAATCTCACTTACCGATCTTCCTGAAGACAACGACAAGGATGTTCTCGACTCGAGGCAGATGACGCGAAGGATGCCAACGATTTCTTACGCTTGGAAACTGGCAGCCGGGTGACAGTCTTTCAGTGTAACACGGTGAAGACCACGCACGTCGTACGAGGAAGCTGCTACGGTTTTTGCTCCGAGTGTAATTGAGCCTGCCTTGTCTGCTCCCGGCTAAATGAATTACGAGGCGCCTCTCGCAGCATAACCTCCAACTGGGATAGAAGGAATTCTTTCCGTAGAAGGCTGGAGCGTGCTCCCTCGTCCGGTAGGGATTTCTTTGAGGTTATAATGAAAGAATCGAACCCCGTCCACGTAGTCTAGATCGGTAACAAATCGCGATCTCATACCGCAATTACGTTTTATCTATGGCTAAGTAATTGTTTCGTCGCGTTCGAAGAGCTCTGTCAACGAGGGATGCGTGCCGAAGGACTAAAAGAATATGGAGACTTGAATATTTGATACTTACTACATATATATATATATATGTAGTTGTGTCTGTATGTCTGAGGTATCAACCCTCTTCGACATAACTCTCGTCCCTCAAATAACTCAGCCTATTAAAATAGCTCAGCTAAACGTCCCGTCTCCTTGCAATTCGGCTCTCGAACAGATCCTCTTTATCGGTATTCCAACTACGCGCATCCCCACGTGAGTGTAAAGGATATGTATATACGTACACATGATGCACATTATATGAGAGACTGATTGTGAGTAACCCTTTTACCCCGCGATACCCGTAATTAGTTTCAGCTTTGAACTTTTTATTTCTTACGTTTACTCGATCGCTGTGCCTGGAGGCATTCTCGATCTTATCGGTTTGGCTGGCGGCTTTAGGCGCCGGGATTTATTTATACTTTTTTTTGTTTTCTTCTTGCGCCCTGCGTGCCTTCCGGTTGCACGATAATGAGAACGGCGAAGCGCGCTGAGAAATTACTTGAATGACACTTAGATATGTTTTGATCAGTGACTGAAGAATTGCGTTGGGAAGGAACCGGCGGCCCGAGAGGAAATGCATGAGAGAAAAATTATGGCAATGGATGTAATTAACCAGGTTCGTCAAGGTACGTCATGCTGCTAGTAAATCTGATGCACGCAATCTATTCGTTGAACGATTAGAGGATGGGATTCGACGTCTAACAACCTTTTCTGCTAATGAATAGATTATACGGGAGAAATAGATTTATCTCTGATACTTCTCGAGAGAATTAAGACATTCGTGTTATATCTTGTCTGAGAGTTTTATATCTTTGACAGTAGTTAGTAACTTATAATTATGCCTCTTATAATTATGCCTTGAGTATCGTGCAAATATCGCGCTAGTGAAAATCGAATGATAATATCGGAAATCGGATCGCTGACTTTTGTAACTATAGACAGACTATTGAGCCATCTGTCGGCAGAATATACGAAGCTCCTGGAAAACATTGCTGGTGCATGAGAATCCTGCCAATTGAAAAAAGCGGGATCCATTTTTGTATACTCGGTGCTTAATAGTAAAACAGTAACTCTACACGATTATCTCTACACGGAATAAGGGAAGATTACGATTTTTAAAACTGCAGCAGCTAGCGCAATGAACCTCATACACTATTTTGTTCCTTGAAAAAAAAAATACAACCATGAACAAGTGTCACATCAAGCAGCCGGAGAAATCGTAATTTTCCGTCTGTCGGTGTAAACGTAGGCCGTCTCGAGTTAACCGTATACAGATATTTTGTGTAGAATTCATCCGTGCAGAACTTGGGTGCTCTCAACCAACAGTTAATTGCGTAGCAATGTAGAAGTTTCGACCGTCGATAAACTCATGCTCACGATTTTACCATCGGTTGGATCTGCGCAAGATGAAAGAGCTTATAGACGATAAAAGGACGAGGCGTTGGCTGAAAACAGGAAAAATCGGTAAGAAAATCTTGTAGCTTTAATGATATTTATTGATCGAAGCAATTTTTATACAAAAGTCAGTGAAACTTGTAATCGTCATCGATTCCTTATCGTTGTACTATTTTATAATGTATAATAGCAAATTAATTGAATACTCAGAGCACTTTACGTACCCAGCGGAATAATAAGAGAATCTTGTAAGGTTAAAAAATTGTACATTTTAATTTTCAGACAGAACCAATTAAGAGTGTATAAAAACTATTGCGTGCCTTAGCCTATAGAATTCACTCAGGAAATAAGTTCGTTATACTTTTATCATATCGATATGAATATATATATAGTAAAACGCTAATATACTAAATATTTTATATCTCGTGATACGCTTGTGCCTGGACGTTTCTGAGGCTTTTTATCCAGGCCACGCTTATTTATATATGCATATACATAATATTCTTCGTATAATTAATTCACGTAACTCTATTATCTGTAATCTTAACCGCACTCAATAACACTGAAAAACTTTACCGTCCCATCGACTCAACTATATCACGACACCCCAGACATACCGACGCTTCTATTAATTGCAGATAAAAAAAATCAATCAATGACCGTATTAGCTTCTGCATTTTTCCCAATTTTATATACATATATACATGATTATTCAGTAGAAACGCACCACCTGAAGTTAGCGCGCCCGTTTGGAGTCCTATGGCAATACCATATTCAGATGGTGCATTTGGGCTGAATAACCTGGTATATATATACAACATAGAAATCCCAGCCATAGGACAAATTAATGTTTAATAAAATAAACAAACAAAATTGTGAAAAATAAACACTTATCAGGCGTTTCTTCACCGAGCCATTATAAAGAAATACATCATGCAGCAATATCCAACAATATGAAGTATGTAAATGCAGCTGAACAGTTTTACACAGACTATTTTGAAAGAGCCTATAGACATAATTTTTAGGGAAGTTCAAAAGAAAAATATCAGTCTAAAGGCATTCCTAAATGTAGTCACAGACATAGGGATTGAAAAAACTGCGAAATTAAAACAGCGCGAAAAAACATGTGAATTTAAAAAAAAAATTGAGGTACTGAAACAAATATGACTTCACTTGTCCCTCTCCCGCCCCCGGAAGCTGACTGAAAAAGAAAGATATCTGGTAAAAAAACTCAGGGTTTTGGATTGAACTCGAGGTAACGGTGACCTGGTAAAAAAATTTTATTTTTTTTTTCACTCGAAAAATAACGTTATTAATTTCTTTAAAATTTCTCAGATTAAGAAAGAGATCGCCATTGGAATTTCGGCCTTATAGTTTCTCATGCATAACACAAACTGGTATTATTTTCGTTTCAATTATCGTTATTATTATTCATGTTATTATAATAATTATTATTATTATTACTTTCAGTACCTCTATCCCTTAATCTATACTCCTATATATTTTATTACTACGAGTCCTTTAACAGCTTTGCGCGTTGAATGGTTGCAAAACTCGTTTTGATTAAAGCGGTAGAAAATGTCTCATCTAAATACGCACTATGTAAAAGATTCCTACCACACTGTTTTCTTTCTTTCTTTCTTTCCTTCACTTTTTACCCTCGTTTACGCGACTAAAGGTTAGGGGAAATATATATATATAGAAGAATGTCATACATAAAATGACGCATCGAAATGCATGTATATGTATATATATATATGTCTCTCTAGAGCACGTCAAGAAAAAGCGGAAATAACTGATATTTCCGTTACCTCGTATCTTTGAAAGATTTCGAACGATCTGTCTCATTCGTGAGAAAGAAAAATAATTATTACTCGACAAACTGGTATTTGTCTATAAAACACTTACATTTCGAATATTATGCATTTGCTGAAACGCAATAAGGACAAATTATATATATATATATATATATATGTATACATATACATATAAAAATCGATAAGGGCACCAAGGAATCTAGTTGCTTCGTTGGAGGCGAGACTTAAATACAATTATACGTTGCGAATAAGTCGGAAATGACGTCAAGATGTATACATATACATATAAAAATCGATAAAAACTGGTATTTGTCTATAAAACACTTACATTTCGAATATTATGCATTTGCTGAAACGCAATAAGGACAAATTATATATATATATATATGTATACATATACATATAAAAATCGATAAGGGCACCAAGGAATCTAGTTGCTTCGTTGGAGGCGAGACTTAAATACAATTATACGTTGCGAATAAGTCGGAAATGACGTCAAGATGACAAAAGGTGTCGTTACGCATTAAAAAAACATCATAGATTTCGTGTAAACAGACGAAAAGAATTAATTGCGCATATTCATTGCACACAGTTTCTAATTACAGCGACGCAATACACTGGTCGTTAATCTTTTTTTTTTCTCTCTTTTCCTTTTTTTTCCCTTCGCTTTGTTAACGGTGTCTCATTAAGTATGGGTATCTTTTTTTTTTTCTTTTCCTTCGAACCTTTACCTTCTCTTGCCTTTACTAATTAATATAGTGCATCAATCGTAATATCTATCTGTACACTCACAACCGTTCAAATACACAATAATATTAACATATTTAATATTGGACCAGTTAATAAACAAAATACAAGGTTTCGCAGAAGTCGTTGGCGCTTATCAATTTACATAGGTGTTTCTTTGTTCTTTTTTTCTTTAATCGCTCGCTCCTACGCGGATCACAGTCGGACATGAAGATTGATCTTGGAGAGAAAATATTGATGGTCCATTTCAAAGATCATGGAACATCCGCCTGTACCAATTTGAGATGCGATTACAAATAAGGTATACCCCAAGAATTCTTAATTCGATATTTTGGAAAATAAAACGCAACAGGAGAAACGAAGACAAACGAGTGTAAGCGGTCGCAAAATTATTGGAGGACTTTGCCAAAGCGATATTAATAACAATAACGCGAGTAAATGAGATATAAAACGATGATAAAGATTATAAAGTAAAACGAGGAAGGTCGTATATTAATTGGGGTTTCAGTTCGAAAGAAACGCGTTTATCAGAAATTTTATTTCTGCACACTCCATTGAAAAAGAGAAAATCAATTCACCATAAATTCTCATATATTCCATTTCATTCAATCGTTATTTATATAAGTAAGGTATTACAGTAATTTTCTATTTACGATTTAATTCCAGTTACTTTCATATCAGACCTGAATACGTAAGCCCAGTCCGAAAGACAGCGGAGACTCCCATAAAGCTCAGCTCTGATTTGAAACCAACCATTCTATATAAGTCCATATTAAATATATTTTACAATAATATTATCATTGTACATGAACAACGTATGCTCTACACCTGTTTTGCCATCGCCGGCTAACCAGCGCCATTCGTCGAGTAGCCATTATTATTAATCCACCCCGTCGCAGTCAGACTGACTTTGAGATATTAAATGGTACGAAGAAGAAAAACAAGAAAGGTATATATATATATATATGTCCTGTGTATATACATATACACACACCACACGATACTTAAAGCAACGCATCCGTTCCGAAAATAATAAGAAAAAATAGGTAAAATAGTACGAGTAAACATCGACAACGACCGCTTCTCAAGATGCTCAGTTCCCGGCGCATGTTTACTAGATATACAAATTGTGACTCGGATGCGCTGATTAGAATGACGATTAACAAGAAGGTGTCAATTAGTTAAAATAGACGAGGGGCTGGATTTGTGAACCCCGCTGTGTGCGCCAACCTTGGTACCTGCTACAATAAAACGACATGATCCATTTTAGAATTTTCTTCACGAGCCGAACGTGAAATTGTAGAAAACAAGAAAAACGTGATATTGCATCTATGTGAATGGAGCTAATATTAATTGAAATCTCAGTAGAAAGATTTTTCCCTTTAAGCAGAATGAAACGTTATAATCAATAAATTCAATGAGTAAGCGATCTCTTGAGTGAGTTCTGCTGACGAAGTGAGTGATAATTATATAAATTAAAAAAAAAAAGAGTGGTTATTATATATTAGAGCAACGACAGAAGGAAAAAAGGATAATGTAAGTTCATTAACGTGTATATGTCACGTGTAACAATTAAGGTAGAATCTTACTGGCCGAGGACTTACATGAGAGTCGCGGTAAAGATGGCGGAGAGAGGTTATTCTTTCTTTTCCTCAGTGGGAGTGGTGGTTGAAGCATTTTGAGACTCCGATGAGGAAGACGATGAAGGTGGCGCTTCCGCAGCTGTGTCCGTCGCGTCTTGACTCGAGTCCGAGCTGTCCTTAACCTCCGCGTCCTTCTTCTCGTCGTTGGCGCTCACGCTCTTTACGTCTTCCGCAGAGCTTTCGGATTCTTCCTTCGTCTTCTCGTCCTTGGAATTTGTCTCGGGCGTCTTTTCCGCAACATCTTTACTCTCTGTATCATCGGCATGCTTCTCCTCGTTCTCGACTGGTTTCACGTCTTTGTCTTCCTTGGTATCGTCCACTTCCATCTTCGCGGACTCCTCCTCGGAATGCTTCTCGTTCTTGTTATTAGTCGGTTCCTCGTCGGTATTATTTTCATTATTCTTTTCTTGCCTCTTTGGACGTCCGCGTCCGCGTCCAGTACCTTTTGACGAGGTGTCCCTTTTATCCTTTTTTGGTGGTGATGGGGCTGGCGTCGACGGTGCCAAACCCCGTGCTGAACTACGCGTACGTCTTCTACCTTCTACTTCACCGACTGATGTGTTTAAACCCTGAAAAATATATAACATATATTATATTCTGACGCAATTTCTTCCATAAAATTTAACAATTCAAATTCGCAATAGATAACCGATAAAAAATAATTTTTGAAAGAGAACAATATCGCATTTCTTTTCTAATTTAAACAAGACACAAGTAATACAGTCTATTCAATATCAGTTATGTTTTATTCTTATTAAGTTTATCTAATGGATAAAAAAATTAATAGAGATAGACCAGGGGTATCAGTTTAGTAATAGTAAACGGTATATTATTCGAAAATGGCGCCCCGAGCAATAAAAACTAAGAGTGGGCACAACTTCTCCACCAGACCTGCGCTTTCCCCCATAATCCCCACTCCTTAACCGTATATCCCCACTCTAGCGTATCTTTGCCTACGTGTAGGCAGCCAAAGTTGGCGGGGATGCTAAATGCAGGGAAATAAGTCGAAGGGGCTCTAACCTTGGCCTCCCGAACCTTAAGATTTTTGGCCTTTTGATAAAAACGCTCTATGCAATGACCTCTGCTAGGATGCTAATGACCCACCTTCAGAATAGCTTCGCCTTCCTGGGTCGTCCTTTCAAGGGTCGAGAGTCTCTTAGTACCGCCGCGTCTGTTTTTTGTAGGAGTTGGTTTCTCCTCTGGCGACTGATCCTAAAAAAGTGTGAGCAATGTTACATTTTTATGTAACCGTACAAAGCAAATCTGCAATCGTCTTTAAAATCAAAGATATGAATTAAACGACTGTAATCGGGATTAGTAAATATAGAATAGAATAAAAAATAGTTTATTTGAAATTTACCTTGCGTACATTAAAGAGTAAAAACCTTGGTGCAATAAGCGTGATAAATACGAGAGCGATAAGGTTATCAAGGATCGTCGAACTGGTGGATTCTTAAATCTTTTGAGTTTCCCTCCATTGGATCAATCACGTGACGTTTCGAATAATATGTGTCTTCGCGATTGAGATTCAAAAAAAATGATTTTTTCAAGTATGCTATTGTGGTTTCATAGTCGCAAAAGTGATTTCCCGCCTTTTTGAAAGCAGTCCGCCGGCGTGCGGCGACTCTCGTCACGCGAGGCACAAATAAAAAACATCCACCATCTTTGCCACTGAAGGACAAACGGCGCAGCTTTGAAAAATCACCGAATCCGTCACCACGCGTAATAAGCACGGGATTCCCGATCAACGTTCGGCCTGGCATTTCGCGCAGACATACGAAGAACGGTATCTCTTAATCGGCGTGCACGACGGAGTTCGGAATTTTCGAGATACCGAGCGTCGCCCCGTATTTGAGGGACCGCACGCCGTCTTGGCATGAAAACTCGGCTTGACGAAGGCTTTTCCTTCTGTTTTGGACCCTTACCTTAGACACATCCTCGACGTTGTTGTCGTTCTTAGTCTCCGCCTTAATATCGGACATTTTATCGCGCGGGAATCACTCAATAACACAGGAAAACCACGGATTTTCCAAGAGAATTCGCGCGGAGCCCGGTCGCACTGTTTATACGATAAGCAAAGATGGCGGTTAGCGTGGGTCACGTGACATCATCAAACGCGAAGCGGGACGACAACACGCCGCCTGCCGCCGCGGCGCTAAACCCTCCACGTAGCGACGCCGCGAAATACCCGCCACCCTTCGATTCAAAATAACGACCAAGTTCTCGAGCACGTTGCCCAATTCACTTTCGCTTTCGTAACCCTTTACAAAATCAACAGGCGATCAGCAACAGCCGGTTGTACCCAAAACTATATAATAATAATGACAACACCAATCGCCCGAATATTGCCCTTTTTTTTTCTTTTTTTTTACCAGTGGAGATACTTGTTGAATTCTCACTTTTCTAATTGTTGTACGCTTGTGCAAGCTTTTCAATTTTTAAGGATCACGGTAATATCAAGTATACTTGCAAACATTCCCTCAACGACCTGAAATACTCTTCACATAATGTCCAGCGATCACCCTCCTATTTATACATTAATCATATGCATTTTTAATTAAAAAAAGATTGGTCATTAGGTGAAAAACATACAATGTTATTTCATTCTCTATATCTTTTGTCTGAGTCACTCTCCTCAGTGTTACTTCCGTAGATTAAATTTCACTTACGCTTACCATTTACGATGTGACGTAAATGTTATCTGTACATTTTATCCCAATGAAGATCTTTGTACCAAAATAAAAAGCCTGTCGAGCAAGCTGCTTGTTATATACACTGTTTAGAGTACTTAGGTAATGTTGTCGATGATCACCAAAATAAAAGTGTATTATCTTTTTCTTTAGTGTGTAGTCTTTGTCACTCTATTAATGCGTAGGCATTCTCCTGAACCAAAATCGTGCCCTAAAATCATCACTGCAAGTTAAAAAGGCTGGTGCAGTAGGTGAGTGTACAATCAGTCGCACTGGGCCATTATGACCCAATGATAATAGTTGTTTTCTCGATGCATTTCGCGAGTTCCAAGCGCACAACGACGTAGTAGCCTCGTCGGGAAACATCACATAATCTTCCGTGTGGTTAAATATAGCTTGAGCTTTGTGTTCTTGTTTGCCTATAAGAAAAAAATACAAATATAAGATTTCATACGAGACATTAAAGATTTAACTGATTCTTTCGGACTTTTACCTGTAGTTCCTGCACCTGTGTAAGCAATTAAGCATCTGCTGGTTGAAAGTTCCCATAATTTAATTAACGAATCTTTCCCTGATGACAGTAAATACTGAAATGCATAATAGTGTTGTTCGTATTTTCATTGTGCACAGTGACATTTCTGCTCAATAAAGTTATAAATGCTATTACTATTAGTATCTCTTACCTTTCCGTTTCTCGTGAACGTAACAGAGCAAACCTCATATCCGTCGTGAGCCTTGACAAACGTATTTATGCACCGATTTGATACTCCGTCCCACAATTTAATACTGCCATCTTTACCAGCAGAAGCATATGTCTTTGCATCTAGAGAATACTTAATGCTAGTAATACCAGCTGTGTGCTGATGATTTGGTATACTACACACAAAACATTGTCCCGTATTCACATCGTATAATCTGACAACAGGATGATTTGTTCCCACAACAAGAAAATCGCCAGTGGGATGGAATGACAAACATCGTATTTGATCTGCATCTGTGATAGTGCGAAAGGCCTTCTTAACACTGGCTTTACTGAAATCGAATAGCTTCACAGTAAAATCTCGGCTGCCAGAGACAAGAATGGGCTCTCTTGGATGAAACTCTAAACAGGTCACTTCTTCCAGATGATCATACAATGTTCTGATAACAGGATGACCCCCTGTTTGATCACCTGGTGCCATTTCGTCTGGTGCTGATTTGGCTAGCATTCTATCAACGTCTAAAATCTTTATTGATGCATCTACCGAGCCCGTTGCAATAAGTTGACCATCTGCTGAGAATGCTCCTGCTCTACAATTTCCCTTGTGAGATGTGACATATGCTGTTTCATACTGTGCAGGTTCAGGTGCCTGAGTTTGAGCTTCTGTTTCAAATTCAAGATCCAATCCAGGTCCCAGAGTAGTATCAAAAGTTGTAAATGTTGGTACATGATTAGTTTCTTTCTTTGCACGTTCTGGTTCATGGGCAGCTCCAGTTAGCATCAAATGAAGTAAACGATCTGAAGGAGGACACGGAGGATCTGCTTGAATTATATTGGACAATTGTACTGCAAGTGTTTGATGTCCATCATAGAATAATTGACTGAAATGAAAATTATTTCCTATAAATCCGTTCATTACTCTCCACAGTTCTAGACCATCCTCACTAGAGCTATACACTACTATACTCCCATAGGCAATACCCAAAATATAATTTGCTTCAAAGAAAGATTGTCAGCTGAACAGTTTTATTGATTAAATATATTTTTCCAAATTAAACCACAAATCGAACGCATACAGGATGAGCTATCTAAGAAAAGCATCATTATTAAGTATAAAAAGGCGCATAACCGCACAACATATATACAATGAAATTATAATTTATTTCTACCTGATGATAAGTCTGTAGAGGAGTTCTCTACTTTTTATAATGTTTTTCGGATCCACCTCTGGCTCCTTCATAGTGCTGTGACTTTCCGTATTTTCCCGTGGTGACTGAATTTTGACTGTTTTCCTTAGGACTTCTTAAACGAATAAATAACGCCCACCAATCGATGCTTTACTTATTGGGGTTATGTTATGGATATTAATTCACGGTCACGTTTGTATTAAACGTCTTCTATAACTTCAATAGAAATGGTTCAGAATGGTGGAGTTGTCGTTTCTCTGATGGCCACGACCAATCGAGGTGCTCAGTTCTTTGAAGAAAATTGCACGTTGGAAATGTCAGAATGGCTGAAGTAAAGACTGAACGGAAATCGAAAGAAATCTGTTTAAAAGAAGTTACCAAGAAATGCCCGAAAAACAGACCCTTAACGGATTCTAAACACATATTGAGAAAAAGGCTACCGGTCTGTCAGCCTAAACGGAATAAGGATATTTACGTTACTAATAAAACCAGCTTTAAGGTACTTGTTGTGTTGAGCATAACCTGTGTTATGTTATATTTCTGATTGATTTTAGGAAAAGTATATTAATCCTTTATTCAACTTTGTTGCTGATTTTTTAGAAAATGTACAAAGAAGCATAACATTATACTGTTTTTATTCAGAAAGGACTTTTAAAAGCCATTAACATGATTTTCTAAGCTAAGACTGTTCCTAAATATTGATTGTTGTTTGATTCTTGAATTAGCAGTTCTTTCAAACATAGAATTACATTCTTTTTCTTCTAATATATATATACTAATATGATATTATCTTAAAGGCACAATTGAATAAATGCGAGAAGCTGTTGGATGCTGGGGAACCAGAGGTGATAATTCATGGTCTAGGAGCAGCGATAAATAGAGCATGTAACTTAGCTCTGCAGTTGAAGGAAAATCATCATGGAACTGTAGACTTAGATATCAATACTTCTACAGTAGATATCATAGGTTAATGAATTAAATACCTTATGATTACCCAATAACATAATAAAACCTATTACTAAATGCATTAATGTTATAGATGACTTTGAGCCACTCACTGATGATGCAGATTACGAAGTAAACAACAGGCAAAATTCAGCTATACATATTCGAGTGTTTAGAACAGCATTAATAGGGACACTAAAGTATGCTACATAAAACATCAAAAAGACACAGTGTTCATCATTTTCAATAACATGATTATATTCCATAATCACATATAAAAACACCAAACCAACATACATTTTTAAAATGATCTTTTCCTTATATGAGTTGGTACACTGGCTGGGTTTAACCATCTTTGAAATATGGATAAATCTAGTCTCACTGACTATCTTCACTGTTCTGCTTGCATTGAAACTGGATGACAATTATTTCTCTGGTTCGTCTGGAGTTTGGATTGTGTTCTCTCCTCTCTTTGTGGCAGATGGTTTAAATACCTATTTCTGTGCTATAATTTTTATAAGGATGCACATGGAAGGTATGATGAAAGCGGCCATACTGAGAGCAGTTTGGAGCTTGGTATTTTTACTCTTAGTTTTTGTTTTCAAATATCTACTTTGCAAAAAACTGTCTGGCCAAAGCAGCCCCGAATACTCTGAAGTTCTAAGTCCTGTTTTTATCCTTCTGCAACTTATAGCAGTCAGAGCCTGTCAGCTTCATTGACCCGGAGATGAATTAGAGTTACAAGTCACAGGACGTGAATATACAGTTGTGCTTCCACCACATCCACACTCTATTTATACAGAAACCGAATTTACGTATTACATGCGTTGAACAATTATTGATTTAATTAATTTCTATATATTGGTATTTAACAAATATTTCATTTTGATTTATTATCGTATTTTATCCATCCTTTCAGAGAACCTTAATGCACCTTAGTAAAACGGAATCTATACAGAATATATATATATATATATGTATATACATATTAGTCAAAAATATTTTGCTATGTATTAACATCATTGAATTCAATCAGTTATAAATCATTAAAAATATTAATCCCAAGCACTTTAGGCGCCAGTCTGTAATTTTAAGACTTTTTAAACATCTCAAAACGTATAGTTTTTTTTCTTTTTCCTTCAACGATATTGTCCCTAAATCTTTTTTCCTACATAACAAATTGTACAAACTTTGTTGAACTTAGAAATAAATTTGAATGTAAATAAATGTTAATGATATGCTGCTGATACTTGTACTACGAATCCATTGTGAACTGTATGTAAGAAAAAAGAAATAAATATTCATTTTCTTATATACATCATAAATCCTAGTAATAAATATTCCCAAAATTAATGTTAACGTAAAATTCGAATTTCAACCAATACATAATACTTTGCTTCATGCGAAGTTACTTTCGTACGCTGAAGGTATATTTATGTCATAAACCGAATATTCTACTTCCGGGTAATCAGGGAGGGCGCTGGAGGCCTGCGCCCATGCAAAATGGTTACTCGACTCTTGTTCAACTTTTCGTCTTTATTTATCTATCATGATGTAAAATAATTTTGACTTCCACCGTTACTACTATTTATTTATGATCCACCTTCTCCACGAAATTCTACCAAAGAGTGAGAATAATAAAGTGCCGTATCTTTGGTGCAAAACAGTTTGTCAAATTCTCAATATATTTCATCAAATCCAATAATATCGTGCGTTCGATATTTCAAAATATGTATAAAAAACATTTATCTCTCTCCCAATTCAAAATAGAGTTAACCTACGTCAGTTTCAATTTTTCCCATCTATCCGCTTTCATAATTCCACATTTTTTCCCATCTACCGTATAAAACAATAATTTCATATTATACCTAAACAGATCATTCACCCTTAAAAAGATCCTCTTCATTTCCACACCCTTAACATTTCCTTGTTGAGATAATGCTTAACCTGTTATTTCAATACGAACGATATTATTATTAGTTCACATTAAATACACATGGAACTCTCCCCTTTAAAGGTCTCTTACGCAGGCTTGTATTAATAACTTATTTACTTTCAATCAATGGTCGATGTAGTTCACGCAAAAATTTCATCTCCGTCGCGAATAAAAACTCCTACGCAAAACTTTATTGTCCTACGAATGATAAATACACAAGAAACAACGAAGCAATAATATATAAATAATGATTAACCCTCAATATACATATTTTCTTGTCATTTTTTCAATGTGACAATCGAACAGAATTTTTTGTTTTATACAGGATACACAACCTCGCTATATATCTTCGAAATTCCACAGAATCTCAAAATATATTTTCTACTGTCGTCCTTTGTTCAGCGTCATATTTAGTAAACAAAATGTCTACTGAAGCTTTTTACTAGTTTTATTGGCAGCTGGGCTAGTAACCTGTGAAAAGAGAAGAATGATATTGATTCGACAAAGCCATGCACTATTTATACATATATGCTTATAGATTATGAAATTCCATGAAAATTTTATGGCAACGATATTAGACATCTGTTGTCAGAAGATATTGAAAATTAGTATCAATGTTTACAACAGCTTATTGCTGTTATTTTTTTAATTGATTTAATTCTAAATATACATTATATTCCGTTAATACCGCGTTATTAATTAACTAAAGGAATAATTTGTCAACACTTCTCTCAACTTACAAATCTCTTCGTTTTTTAGCTACAACGAAATTCTCGATTACGAAATAAGTCTATTTGTAAATTAATGGTGGATTTGATAATTTACATAAAATTCCAGAATTCCAGTATATATTAATCAAACCTTATATAATTACCAATTATTGGAAACCCTTAACATCGCTTTAGCATCGAATACACAATTGAATATATATTCGGCAGATCTATGCCACCTCTCTATATAGACTGCATTAGACCAAACACATATAGACCATAGGGTCGATATTTGGATAATATTTCAGGTTCACCCTTGGAGATGATCATCCTCGAATTTTCCTAGTAACGTTAATCTGGAATTAACTAAAGGTTAATTATAATGATTATCTCCTAACTAACAGACTGTAGCTGTTACAGGAGAACATACATAGCACATACATAACAGCAAAAATTCTCTTTTTTACCATCAGGAATTCTGAGGGGTTGCTGTCTAACAAAAGAGTCACGAAGAGGAGGATAATGGTTTTGACAATGCTTGAATCCAATGACAAAAATAAACAATTTAGAAGTTTGCGTTCTATCCTGGTAATGGGAGGGTGGGGGTGAAGGTGATGGTGCTGCTGCTGGCGGTGGTGGTGGTGACGCTAAAGCCGATGGTGGTGGTACAGTCAGGTAGACATATACCTCCCCGCTTGGCCTTTCCCAATGAAGATCAATATTCCTAACCAAAAGGAGGCAGAGAAACTCCAGGAATTGTGGAAGGGGTGCGAATCAAATCACTCTATAGGCAAAGCCTGTTGCTGCCATCACACTTGAGAACTTGTCCTTGCGGAGGAAGCTTCCTCGACGAGGTCGAGCATACGAATTGAATTATTATAACGCGAAACACGGTTTAAAAGGCCAGTGATGTGCGGTGGACTCAAATCAAAGGATTATGGATAGACTGAGTAATTTGACTCGTGGTTAGTTTCTACATTTCTTTTTCTTTCTTTTTTCTATTCCTGCCATTTCCGATCGTATCTTCTTTATCGATATATGTATATTGAACTGCGTACGAATTATTTGTATTTATAATTGTTCTTAGGGTTTATTATCAAATTAAATTTGAAGGGACGTTGTGTAATAGGTTTTTTAAAATAATAATTCTGTGCGTTTTTAAAAATCCTTTTTTTTCTTTTTATAATCATATTATTGTTTGGGACCGGAAGATATTTTGTTTTGCTGTTCAATACTGCGTTTGAATTTTCGTAAAAATTTTTACCGGTTTTTCGTTTAATCAAACGATTGATTGGTCCAAGATTACTTAACTGTGCAATCATGGACTCTGTTATATTTGTAATAGCTTAGATGAGCGGGAAATTTGAAATGCATGATATTGAGATGAATTTTTGTTTTTAAGGCGTAAATACGACAACATCTTCGACTGGACAAAATTGTATATCGAATTCGTCAAGCTCAGAATCGCTGGACAAGTTCCTGATAACAGCACCGTCCTGGTTCGACGCAAATCAAGAATTAAGATGGATCTTTCTTCTGCACACTTATGGATTTGCATGTCTCTTTTTTGTACTCAGCTTTTACACATTTTTCTCCATACTCAACTTAAGGTAGTATCAATATTTACTAAGTCCATATTAAATTAACATTAAATATAACAATTGAAAAAAATTTAATTTTTTTACAGATCCCTAATTTCAAGTCGGCCTTTTATGTCCACAATTAATATTTTTCTCTGTCTACTCGGAGCATCTAGATCAGGCTGTCTCTTTATAGATCCCTACAACCTTAAAGAGGTAAAATAAAACATTTATTCAATATCGTCATAAAATTCATAAACAAACTACACAACAAGAGCGCTAAAATTAAAAATATCTTTTCCAGACAATGCCTAGAGTGATGGGCTCAATAATGTGGGACATTGGATTTCCCTGCATAACATCAGCCTTTTGCCTGATCCAATTGGCATTTCTGCAGTTAACACAAGTAATGTTTACTTAAAATGTCTACAAACCCGTTAAAAGAAATAGTAGGGAAGGAAACGTGAACCAATCATTACTCTATTTGACAATCTGTCAGCATGCATTGACAGCCCCGGATTTTGCGAAAATAACACTGCTGAATACCCCGTTATATTTATTACCCTATACACTATTAACTAACTAATTTCCGACATCCTAGAGATACCATTTCGTTAAAATTTACAACGTAAACGATAGGCTTTGGCATTTATCCAAACAGCCTGCTGAGCATCGCCACTAAACAGTAGCTCAGAAAGTTCTTTAATGACCGTTCCGTTCTTTGACATTACTCACCAAGAATCCTATTTACATAAACATCCGTGGGAACTAAAGTTTTTCGTGAAATTAGCAAAAGAGTAATACTTCTACTTGAGATCTTTTGATCATTGGAGAGACCAGCTCATGTCAAAACATTTGATTTCGTTTGACAAGCAAACTATTGAACTTTGTATTATCAAAAAGTACAAAGTCAATTTATCATTAAACTAAATAAGAAAATGGCACTACGTAGCTTGAAAATGAGAGTAGAGATCGTTAAAATATAAGTTTATAACAGATACTTTAAGTATTCACAAAAAATTAATACAATGGATTTTACTCTGTTTTAGCTCAAATTTGGACCTGAAAAGATACAAAAAGAATCTTGTCTCAGTTTGGTAATAACGTCGCACTTTTCCTGCATCATTGCAAGCGATGTGGCTCTTGCTTTTCATAATCACTACATTGCCAAGTATGTGGTCCAGACTGTTTTTCTGATCTGGAGCATCCTCTTATACTTGACGTTCCTACATGCAGGATACAAAGTCATGCATTTACTCAGAACGATGCCAAACAGCATGCTGACGCGTGACAATTCTCATGCGAATCAAAAAGGTTTGTAAATTTTTTCCCTGAAACACTATACATATATATACACACACAATATCATAATGTGGTGTACAAATTCTGATAACAAATTGCTTGTTAACCTTAGGCATAATGCAGCTTGCCATGCTAGCCCCATACAATAATTTAGCGACATCAGTCGCTGCTGCATTGGTACCCACTTTGCTTGGTCCTAAATTGAAAGTAGCAGAGGAAAATGAAACGCCTGGAAGTCTCAATAAAAATTCTGAACTAAATCAAAGTCTGAAAGGTACTAACTTCCAAAGGCTAATGTGACTCATTTCAATCATTATAGTGTACAGTGAATTGTATCAGATGAATTTTTGTTGACTGGTTGAAAAAATTGTTAATATTTTTAGCTCAATCCATAACAAGGGTCTCAAAGTGCCAGGAACTGATTCGAAAGGATTCGGGAAAGACTACAGCTACAGCTGCTGGAAAAATGTGTATATCATCAAACAACACTGAGCTTCCACAGATTCAGGCTACCACGACCGTACCGGAAGTGTACGTCAGGCCTCCAACACCTACACCTTCCACAGCGAATTTACCAATAATAATGGTATCGAGTCCTAGTCGTAGAAGTTCTCTGGCTAGTCGACGTGGTAGTGACATATCCGGTTCCTCCAGAAGGAATTCAGAGTGCAGCGTGAGGTTCATAAACGAGGAAGAAGTTTCACCTATGTCGGAAATAAAACGCAGTTCTGACATTAATGTAAAGCAATCACCGGAAGTGGAGAGGCCTCGAACCCCAGAAGGAATATTGCGTAGGCATTCTGAAAACATTACACCGTCTGGTAGCACAAAAGATTTAAGAAGATGTTCAGACTTTACTCATGAAAAAAATCGCAGTTCTCAATTCGCTACGAAATTGAGGAGGAACAGCGATTTTGGTAATAGAACACCAAAAAGAATGTTGCCACCGGAAGAGCAACCGAAATTACCCAAAGTACTTGACGTCAGTCCAGCAGGTATAAAAAAAATAATAAATTAAAATAATCGTTAATTATTTATAATAATCTCTTTTACCTTAATCAAAATTAATATTTCAGGCTCCCGACGTAATTCTGATCTTGGTGGTTTGACAGGCGTAAAATTGAATTCGCGAAGGAACACGGATTTTTCATTCAGACGTAATTCCGACGTGATAAAACCCTTTCTTGTAAATCGTCGTTCCAGCGACATTAGTATCAGGACGTTGGATAAGAGTCCTACTCACTATCAGTCAATATTGCCTGAGAAACCTGAAATACAAGAGAAATCCGAATCAGATTCAGAACAGCCCGATTGCAACGAGAGGGCAGCACTGATGAGCGACAAACCTAAAGACAAGGATGAAGAGTTGAAAGGTCGTAAGAAAAGTCTTTCCTGGAAAACAGATAAGAGCAAGGAAGATCATGAAGAGATTACAGCCGAAACAAGCCTGTTACCCGAAGCTGCTATACCAGAAGTAAGAGTAACGGTAAATCGAATGAATTCTTAATTACGATACAAAAATTTCCCAGGAAATATTCGAATCGAAATTTTAACTTTTTCTATGTCAATCAGGGAGCCGACTTCACTCTTCACTCCATACTGAATCACATTGCTTATGTGAATAGAGCAAAGTCCGACACTCCCCTTCATATACCGGAAGCGGATACCGCAGCGGCAAGAAAATCGCAAATTCGACGCGTTCTCAATGTTACCTACGCCACGGCATTTTTGGGAATAATATTATGCATTGCAGACATAGCACGTATATTCGGGCCGTATGGTAAGTTCTAATAATAATAATAAAGGAACCAATATTTTTATAAAAATATATATATAATTTATCTATTACGTATATTTAGGTCTGTTGGCTGAAACTGTTAAATACGGTACGCGACCAGCTGCCACACAATTTCCCAGACCATGGCCGTGGTTGCTCTATCAAACTTTGTGCAGAGCTGTGGAACTGATAATGGGTTGTGCAATGGCAAGTATAACTAAACAGCCATCGGTAAGCCCACGGCATCAATATCTCAACAACTATCCTAGTTATAGTTTGCGCATCAAACAGAGAGATGGTCTTTACATATAAAGCAATACATTGATCATTTAACATCGGTAACGATATTGATCGATTATATTATGATATATCAAAATTCGTATTTTTGAAGATATATACGTTTATATATATATCTCACTCTCCCATTAGTCTGTACTATACGCTCGGAGAGAGACTCTTAAGAGACAATTGAATCTGTAATGTCGAAAGCTAATCGATTACGAATACCGTTGAGTTGTGTTTAGCTGCTGCTTCTTCACGGAGCTGAAGAGTCTTTAGATCTGCAAAGAAAAAGAATTCAAGTATTAGTAGATTCTGATACGATAAAGGGGAACAGTATTGATTATTAAAAAAATAAATCAAGAAAATACAGTAACAATCAGCAATGCAAAAATCCTATGATCGTGAGTTAACGATCTGGAAGAACAAAGGAAGAAAAAGTAACAAAAAAAAATGTGTAGCAATAGTTTGATGTAACATTCTAAAAGCAGTGACTGTGTTCAAAACCGCGTATATACTCAAGCTCGTTTATTCAAATATTACTTCATATACAAAGCCTCCCCTGTCAAGATGATCTATTTTAGCCAACAAGGAAGCTATATTTTTCACGTTAGATTAGTTTCCAGGCAAAACATGAAAGGAATCGAGAATATCACAGAGAAGAAAGGTATAAAATTATCCTCGACTCGTTTGCTTGCAATCTCTATTAATTCTATACATATATTATGGATAGTCGTTGATTCAGAGAGAAGGATGAAGGGAAAAAAAAGAGTTTGAATCAAATCTCTTCTCAATGCTATTGCGGTCACACGTGTCTTTCAATATGTAACTTTGTTTAAACGCCGCAATAGATTGTACATAAAGAACAATCTTTAGTCTAGCTTATATATTATAGTCCCTGAAACGAAACAAAGCGAATGCATTGTATACAAAAAAAATACAATAACAAGAACGCATTACGTTTTGCACTCTCAGTGATGGGACAATAATAATAAATTACAAAACCTTTTTAAAGTGCCCTACTCTTGAATGTCGAAGAAATGAGAAAGCTGTTTAATAGTAAAAAATTGATGTCTCGATGGTTTAATTACATGAAAGAATTTGAAAATTGTAATAACTCGATGTCTTGTGATCCTATAATATATGTGATACGCGTTTAAATGTTTAACGACACGATCAACGGTAAGAATTTTATGCTCGTGTAAGATTCCACGTGGAATATTCCGTATCAAGATAATTATCACGTTTCATCGCTTTACACTAGACAGACGAAAAGATCAAGACAAGAGATTGAGGTTAGGAATACAGATTTCACGTCCATAAGTGACACTAGCGCACCATATGATACATGTTATTGGGAAGTTTCGACTGATTTTATACAATTTTTTAATTAACAAGTTTGACCTATTACTAATTACTGCCTGACACGGAACATTCCATAGACTCTTTGAAAAAGCCTGATTATTCTTATTATATATAAAATTGAGCTGAATTCTAAATGATATATATATATATTATAAATTCGATTGTCTGTTCTTCACACGAGCATTAAATACGAAAGCCAACGTTATCGTATTGGTATATATATACATATACAATGTATCTGTATATAATATACAGATATAGTTCTTATGCTAGTTGAAAAAAAAAAGTATATAATGGGTGTTCAATGTGCCAAATATTCATGTTATCTATTTTAAATGTTTACGAGTATATATTGAAGAGGTATACAATTATTATATTATAATAGTAAAGGAGGTGCAAATCGGCACAAACCATTAATACAAATAATTATTTATGTACGATTGGATTTATAGTAATACTGTAGTAATCGAGAAGACAATGAGTGTGTGACGTCATCTAGTCAATGCTTTCGAGGCAGTGGTGTGTAAATAACTATTTTTATCAATGGGCAAAACATTATCAGTATTTTTAAGGTCTGAGTGTTGTTATCGGTCATATACACTTTCTATTGCTTGCAAAAAAAATTTGCGTTGGATATATAAGACAATATTAGCGATTATTGTAATAATCCATCACGAAAGCGTGACTCGAATTTCGATACGTTTGGACCAGAAAAATCATTGCTTTATAAAAAAAAATTACAGGACATTTAAGAATCAGCAATTTGAATTCTGTGGTATTTATGGAAAGATGTCTTTTCTGTTTTACCGATCGGTAAAATTACAAGTACAGTGTTCTTTGTTGAATAGGGTAATACAATTGCTTAACGACTTTTGTTGTTGTCTCACATTATTTTTTGCACATGGATTTTCTTGCAACTGCCAATAGAATTAATTCAGACGGGAGATTCGAATATCGAGATTAGAGTCATACTGGGATGTTATGAAATGAGATTCTTCAGAATCTATGCATAATGTAAATATGAAAGGAAAATAATCACAGCAGTAATTCGTGGATCAAACAGAAAGTTGAGATTTTTAGAAGTTGAATTAATATGGCTTAGGATATCTAACACGATTCTAATAACTGCATTTTCCTCCATTGCTATGGTGCTTTTCGCAAGGGACATGTGAAACAAGTATCTGGAGATTTATGTACACCTGGTATATCAAGTATACATAGAAGACAAATGCTTTGAAGAGCATTTCCAATAAACTGTTAGTCACAAGACCAATGTTTATCAGTATATTTCAGAAACGTGATATATAGCTGTAGTGCTCAAGCAGTGTTGAATCATCTAAATCATGCTCCACAGTAACGGAGCAGTAATGCTAGAAAAATTAACATAGCAGTAGATAACTTTTGTCTAATGTATCTTTCGCAAGAGACAATGAGTTCTTATAAAAGAATAAACGGAAATGGAATTCGTATAATTGAAAATAAAATTTTACAAAATAAAGAATACTACGTGGTACTTCATTGACTTATCCAATTGATTCCTTTATTATATAATGAAGGTAAGGAGCATCGTGATATTTTAAAATACAGTAACCTCTTACTATTTGCGTGCCCAGGCGGTTTCCCGTGCTTATAGCCTTGCGCTTTGCAGCTTACCCCCCCTCCCCCCAATTACAGTCTAAGGGCAGTAAAAGTATTTTCAACGTACGGACTGGTGGTAAATCACTAAGTGCGCATTTCTTCCCTCACCAGCAACATGGGCGCACTTAGCCAGAGGCTACTGAAGGATTACATGGGTTGACTATATTTCCATCGGAGTCAAGTTGAGAGATGAGATACGTGTGTTGCATATCTATAGATTGGTAAACTATAGGTGTGCATTCAATGTATTTCAATTCTGGTTCGTCTCCGGTGGAAACGTAGCCATTGGTTATCCTGTGAAACAGCTGAAATATATGGAGAGCTAAAATTCTTTTCCTTAACTTTGTATATTTCATGATTCACTTTACTTATTAATTGATACTCCCACATACACTGTATAATATTATAAAATCAACAATATTTTATGACCATGCATGCCAAGATCTGTTGAGAAGGAACCATACAATAGAATAAGTGTAGTTTCTGTATAACAAATAAAGTTTTAAAGTGACAGCTCGTAATGCATACGAGGTCATCGGTTGAATAATCGAATAATTAGTTAATTAATAAAGTGTAAGTGGCAATGAATATTTTTTTTCTTCTAGATTATTAGCTTTACGATCCATTTATCCCGTATATACTAAAGTGACAGGTTTTAAAATTTTATGCGTTTTTTCCCACTTTATTTTTACATTATTTCTTCACGCAGCAATAATTTTAAGTTAAACACGCTAGAGACAAAAAGTTTGAAGCTTGAAATAGAGACTAAGTTTCTCGTGGCAAATTATCCTTTTTCAATTTGAATATGTATCTAATTTATGCGAATGATTCTTTTCACGTTTTGCAATTGAACGATTAATCACTAGTTTTTAACCTTACTCTAAAGACGATTACCAATCCACGACGCCATTACGAGTTACTCTTTTTTTAAGGTGCTAATGATTTTAACAGCACGAAAGTAAATGTTACAGGTTTTAATTCTGTGCATATTTACTTGGCTCATAACGCGACAGACAGAATTGAAGTTCTGAGACGAATTCAATTGTTCTATCATTTCCCTATAATTAAAGTCTTCTTCAAATGTCCAGATTAACCTTGATAGTCAAAATCATCTTTGACTAATCTTCGACTTTGAAGTAGACGGCATCGACACGAGTTTGTGGCCTTTCTTAGCGGGCAAGGGGAGAACTTCGACATTTCTGTAACAAGATAAATTAAACAAAGTTTTTAAAAAAAACATTCTACATATTTTAGATACAATTTTACAATTATTAATATTTAATACAATTTATAGATTAGTAATTTCGCGAATTAATAGCCACCTTAGAGAGCAGTTAGCTTTTGACGTATTGAGCATAGGACCTGGTACCTTCCTTTGACCACTTTCTCGTTGTACTAATTCTAATAAACTTAGACTCGGCAACCAACACTATCGAATAAAAAAACGAACACAAGTTAACTCCAGTTAAAAATACGCATATATTATATAAAAGTATATAAAATTTAATATAATAAATACCTTATCCTTCACAGCAGTAGCAACAACATTCCTCTTCGGTTCTTGATCATAAGCTTGACTTTCGCAGCCAAACTGTTCGCAGTATTCATGAACGAAGTGTCGCTTATCTCGATTCATACATTCAAAGGAATAACTCCTTGACTTCTGCTTAGACGTTTTAGCCAACTGAACTAGTTCCGTCAATTTATCATGGACCATTTGACAGAAGAAAGGATCCTTCTTGGCCCAATGTTTCATGAGATCACTATACCGTGGCATAAGCTTGCCACTCAGATCAGGATTGACAATTTGCAAGCACAGAGCCAGTTTCCTGTTCCTTTCAATAACCTTACACTCATCATTACACTCTAAAGTTTTTAACTGATTCTGCTTCTTCGCACCCTGGCCAAAGACTTCTTCCAAGTCCACTGAATGACCAAGTTGCATGTCTGCCATTTTACTGGCAAGTATACCACTGGCTATTCTTTGGAAATCGCGTGAATTCTCAACACAAGCTCTAGTCATACTTCTATGACCGCACTGGCAGGTAACCTTAATGATAGAAAATATTTTAGAGCATCTTTCACACAGATCAAATAAATCATTAACCATACTGAACCACAATCCTTACCTTGACCATTTCTTTACATGGAGTATCAGGACATTTTCCCTCGTGACAAGGAGAAGCACAAATGTGTCCACATAAATCCCTAGGTGTGGTACATGGCTGCGTACACACTTGTCCTGGTTTTTCGCAAGATCCAGCGTGACAAAGTGTAATGCACTTATGTCGTCCACATGATAATGGTTTGTTGCATGGTAAACCGCACGATATTTCATTCACATGACACGGCACGGCTTTGCGCAACTCGTGCTTACCGTAACACCAATTTTGAGTGAGCACAGTGCACGGAGGACACGTAGCTTCGCTGTGACAATTGTGTAACACCTCGTGCGAGCACGCGTGCTGTCGCGAACAAGGTCTGTCACAGGCGGGACGTCTCGTGCCGCAAGGAATTGGAGGATATAAAACAGCAGCACCACATTCGCAGAAGAGTTCATCAAAACTACTTCTCCAGCAGGGCTGGCACCTTCCTGTTAAATAAATGTATGTATTTAATTATATTAACAGCTATTTTTACATGGAGCAACTTGAAAAAGTTATTCATTCGTTTCTGTACCTTTATGACAAGTCTGCTCACACTTATGCCTTCCGCAGCTTAATGTTTTTGAACAAGGTAATGGGCAGATATGTTCAATATCGATGCAGCACATTTGATTACACTTATGTCGGCCACAGGATCTTTTCTTGGTGCATCTTTTCTCGCAACGAGCATCATCGGCCTTTGTCGTTAGTTCCTTGCAAGGAATTTCCTTGTCCATGTTGCCACAGCGACATTTGACTTTTGTGATCAATTCGCATTCCGGACAATCACCCTCGTGGCACTTTGACTTGCATGTATGAGGATGGCCTGGAACAAATATCGATTAGAAGGTGTTTATATTGATCCACAATAATAGATTCTTCCTAGTCATTTTCGTTGAACGTATATTTACTTGGTTGGCCGCACTTTAGACGCTTGCAACAGATCTTCTCGCACGTTGGTATTTCATCTAAACAGCTTTTTCTCTGCTCCGTCGAGGGAGTCTGTCCGCAGCAGCAATGAGTGACGGCTTCCGGTTTCAGGGAACAAGATTCGCAAGGTCCAGGATGGCAAAGAGCCTTGCACTTGTGATTGCCACAGTCTAAGAGTTTCTCACAAATGTTCTCGCATGTATACGTAGAAGGAATATCGACGTCGCAAGTAACCTCACGATTATGTTTGCCACAAAAACATTCTGCGAAAGAAATCCAATTCATTCTTCGATCGATACTAATCATTTTTTATTATGTTAATTGCATTTACCTTGGTGTATGGTTTTATCGCATTTTTCACAGCTGCCGTGGTGACACTTTTTTTCACAGGTGTGTTTCTCGCAATTTAATAATTTACCGCAAGTGGCCTCGCAGTGCAAAAGCGTCGCGGTGCTGCACTTGAGTGTTTGCGAAGTCCTTCCGCAACCACAGTACTTTGTTACCATAGCGATACATAAAGGACAAGGACCAGGATGACAAAGTAAAGTACATTTGTGAACACAGTTGGTATTTGCTCGCATACGTCCGCAGACGTCCCCACAGGAATGAGCGACCTCGCGACGATTCCATTCTGGCGTGTTACCCTTTCCGCAGAAGCAAAAATATTCTTCTGGTATCACAGATGTTACATTCTGACAGGCTGGACAACGCCAACCATTTTCTATTAAAAAAATAAATCCATGAAATGATAATATGGTTGCAAACTAAAATTAGTTATATGAAGATGGCTAACTCACCACTCTGCGACGATTTGGCCCATTTCTTAGTGCACTTTAAATGTAATACATGATAACAATTGGAACACGACCAAACATAATCTGTTTGCTTTATACGATCACAACATACTAGGCATTCGAGTTGTCCTCTATTTAATTGATCTGTTAACCTTTCCCTTTGACTGGCATCATCGTCTACGGGAATTGTAACAACTTATTGGGATATAAAATCATAGGGCTTCGATAGTTTTAGAATAATTACTTACCTGTATCGTATTTCTTGTTGCCACTACGTTTTGGAGTACCACTCCTGCTGCTAGTTTCATTCTTTGACCTCCAACTTTCATTGTCTTTATCTTTGTTCTCTCGGGCACTATTCTTGTTACGCTCTTTATCTCTGTTTCTTTCACTCCTCTCGCTGCTCACATCATAATTATTTTTGTGTCCATCATAATCCTGGTAATTATTCCTCTTCTCTCTCTGACTACTATCGTATCTGTCACTGTAGCGTTCTCTTCTCTCACGATACCTTTCAGAACGATCATCGCTGAAGTACTTTTTTCCATTCTTTATCCAGGACTGAGGCTGCTCTGAATTGTGAGTAGACGAACTGGGCTCGTTACTAGTAGCGTTATAATTGTACTTGGGTAATTTGCCAGGTTGTCTTGAACTATCTTGTTTATATTGATAAGACAGGGAGTCATTATAAGGCAAGCCTTTAGTACCGTTCTTATTTAGCTTTCCATTGGTGTGTTGTTTTTCTTCATCCTTCGACATTGAGGCTGTTCCAAAAGTGTCTCTGGTTCCACTGGTGGTATTAGAAACTGATTGATCTACGTTCTGCCTTTTTCTTTCATTGTCCCTCCATCCAGAGGAATATTTATTACCATCGGAATATTGTCTACCATTGTTATATCTATCATTTTGAAACTTGCCATAGTTCTTGGGATTTTGATTCTTGTAAGAATTCCTATGGAAGCCATTCTGATTATGTTGCTGATCTTGTGATTCACGTTGCCTATAATTACTATTCTTTTTGTTGAAGAAAACATTAGATGGCCCTGCTTCTATCGTGGCAGTAGCATTTCCATGATGCATTTCTGTAGCTTCGCATTGTGTGTTAGTTTGATTCCCTGCACTATTTAGACTGGCAATTGGTGCTTCTGAATAGCTTGATTTTGCACTGTTTGGAATAAATTCATCAGCAGTAACATGCAGATTTGAATACTCTGCTATATTCGGATATGAATTCTTCACTTGTCCTGGGTACTTAGAATCAGTATTATCGTTCTTACTCCATCCTCCATAGTTACTACTTTTGTAATTGAACGATGGAAGCTGTGGTTGTACTCTATTATTCTCAAAGAAACACTGATTAACATTTTCCAGAAGTGAGGGTATTGGTTGCTCTTGATAGACAGACAATGGTGCTACATTTTTCTGAACCGGGGGAACGTTGGTTCTACTGGTTTGTTGAAAGGGTACAGCTCTGTTCTGATCAAAAGCACTAGACCCGCTTGAAGTATAAAGATTACCTCTTGGACGAGAAAAATTATTTCCAGCATAGTAACCCCATGTTTGATCTCCAGGACCTGCATCACGATGATTGGAGTATGGATGATAGTTGGGATCATCAGGTTCGTAGTACGAACCGTCCCAAGTGGCCATCTGGCCTTCCTCCTTGGAGGTCTCTTCTATTAAATTACAATTACTTGGTGCTCCTCTTCCTGTGAACTATATTCCTGAAAGTATAGAATTTTGTCAGTCTCAGCTAGCAATATGGTAATACTGTCACGCGAATGAATCCTTTCACGACCATAACTCGCTTGAATATTAACCCTCTGGTATACATCTAGGTCACCAATGACCCAAGCGCAGTGTACTTCAACGTGGCGACGAAATATGCTGTAGACCAGAGGGTTAACCAAAGTATTGCAAAAGCTACTAAGATATTTTATAAGACACTCATCATGGAAATTGCAAAACATTACGCAATATTTCTTCATGCAAAGGATAGTTGAAAAAGTAGATAAGAAAAATTGACTCTTTACCTCTTTTCCTGTACGAATCAAAATACAGACTAATGATTGCCGTGTCGGTAGCAGCGCTGGCATCGAATTTCCTGACGTCACGTAACCAATGTCGAGGCGTCACAATCGCCATTGAATCGTTTAACGAAACTGAACATTCTAAAATTCGAGGTAACAATAGCAGCATTTTCATACGTTACTATATGAATAATATTTACATTTACGAATAAGTAAAACAATCGCTTTAATGGCTTGATTTCATTTATAGCATTGTTGTGTCGTTGGTGGTTGCAAGGACGCCATGCGAATGCGCCCCTTTAAGACCCCCAAAATGTGAAAATAACTGAAAAATTAATAGAATCTATATCGACAGTCCAATAACTATAGAGCATTATGATTTTCGTAGCTTGTGTCTGTCTGTTTTTCTGCTTTATCCCTAATTTAATGAGCCATTATATACGTTTGACGATGTAAACATCAGTTTATGTTGGAGTAACGTCGAAAATTTAGGAGCGCCATATTTCAAACTGAGTGGATGAAAGTACAGAGTGGTTTGGAAAACGGACAAGAAATATTTATTTGTTTGTAAGGTAATCATCATGTCGGCGGAGGAGGTAAGCCGAAATGCGACAATTGCCTCAACGGACGACGCAGGACAATCGGTGACCAGCACATCGCAAAGTGTTGGAAATTCGACTGAATCAAATTCACCTCGACCATCGGACCAAGCAAGCCGACAGAATAATCTTCAGAGAATTCAACAACGTAAGCAGCAGGTTTTCAATTGGCCTCAGTTAAAAAAATTATTGAAACTCGCCAACTACAGTGCTTGCCAAGTGGAGGACTGTAAATGTAACGGATGGAAGAATGCCCAGTCTTTGACAAAATCACCTAAGAACGATATGCAACAGCCAGTCACTAATTTCTACGATCCATGTAGAAGTTGCACTCATGTTCTGGAAAATCATATAACGCATCTGTCAACACAGTCCGATGAAGAAATCAACAAATTACTTGGAATGGTGGTGGACGTAGATAATATTTTCATGGGAATGCACAGAGAAGAGGATCCAGACACAAAGAAAGTTTACTATTATCTGTTCAAGCTGTTACGAAAATGTATACTATCTATGACTAAACCAACTATAGAAGGTCCGCTAGGACAGCCTCCATTCGAGAGACCCAGTATAGCAAAAGCCATTACAAACTTCGTTTTATACAAGTTTGGACATTTGGCTCAGAGGGAATGGCAGGCCATGTACGACCTAGCTAAGATGTTCTTACATTGCTTGAATCATTGGAACTTTGAAACCCCGAGTGCCCGAAAAACAGCTGTAAATGCTGACGAGGCACCAGCCTATAAAATAAATTATACACGATGGTTAGTCTTCTGTCATGTACCAGCTTTCTGTGACTCGCTGCCTCACTATGACACTACTCTTGTATTTGGAAGGACTTTACTGCAAGCAGTGTTCAAATCAGTGTGCAGACAATTAATGGACAAATGTCACAGCGAACGAGACAGGATGTCACCAGAGAAAAGATTCCTTGTTCTAACCCACTTCCCCAAGTATGCACCGTTATCTAAACCACTAAACATAATTATCTGATATACCAATAACAATTATCTCTCTCCTTAGATTTCTGTCGGTGCTAGAGGTGGAGATCTATTCTGACAACTCTCCAATTTGGGATCCTGAATTTAAGCAGGTTCCCCCATCGCACCTGCAGATTGCCCCGGAAACAAAAGGTCACCAAGGTCGTCGTACTGGTGAATTTGAGAAGGTGACCGTGACTCCCAACGAAAAAGACAATTTCACAACTATTAACATAAGTCCAGGCATTAAAAAGATCCACGAAAAAAGGTCTCACTCAGAAGGAAGGTCTGACGTAAAGAGACGTAGAAATGAAGAAGCCTTCGAAGATCTACCAGAGGAGACCGTAGCTGAAATCGTAGCTACAATTAATGACCCCAATTACATGTGTGGACCTGATGCCGTATTTCCACCGAACGTTCCAAGAGACGAAACAGCCAAGATAGAAGAAAGTCGAAAGATCATCGAATTCCACGTCGTTGGAAACAGTCTTACGCAACCAGTATCTAAACAAACCATGCTATGGCTAATAGGACTGCATAATGTCTTCAGTCATCAATTACCTAGAATGCCTAAAGAATACATATCTCAATTAGTATTTGACCCGTAAGTATCATAAAAATGATTCAAATACGATATTACGCCATTTCTCTATACTAATAAAGTTTAATTAATTGCAGAAAGCACAAAACTTTAGTTCTAATAAAAGACGGTAGACCAATCGGCGGTATATGCTTCCGTATGTTCGCTACCCAAGGTTTCACAGAAATAGTATTCTGTGCAGTAACAAGTGAGGAACAGGTCAAAGGTTATGGGACCCATCTGATGAATATGCTTAAGGATTACCATATAAAAAATAACATACTACACTTCCTGACCTTCGCCGATGAGTACGCTATTGGTTACTTCAAGAAGCAGGGCTTCAGCAAGGACATCAAGTTACCCCGTTCTATGTACCAAGGTTACATAAAGGATTACGAAGGTGCCACTCTGATGCACTGTGAGCTCAACGCGAAGATCGTCTACACAGAATTCACGGCTGTGATAAGGAAGCAGAAAGAAATAATAAAGAAGCTGATACATCAGAGACAACAGGAGATACAGAAGGTGCATCCTGGGCTAACCTGCTTCAAGGAAGGTGTACGTGGTATCCCAGTGGAGTCTATTCCAGGAATACGTGAAACAGGATGGAAGAGTTATGCTCAAACCAGAACGAGAGGCGTAGCAAAAGGAACTCAAGGTTCTGAACCTATGGAAGCTTGTCTGGATATTACTGACTCTCTGTACAACGCCCTGAAGAATGTCTTGACCAGTGTCAAAAATCATAGCACAGCTTGGCCTTTCTTGAAACCCGTTGACAAGAACGATGTACCAGATTACTATGATCACATTAAATATCCAATGGGTAAGTCACGTAATTGGTATGCATATCTGTATACGGATTTAACATAAATTCACGTTGCAAATATATTTGTCACTTCCTTTCAGATCTCAAAACTATGACGGATCGTTTAAAGGCAAGGTATTATGTCACTAGAAGATTGTTCATTGCTGACATGACAAGAATATTTACAAACTGCCGATTGTACAATAGTCCAGACACAGAGTATTACAGGTGTGCCAATGCACTGGAAAAATATTTTCAAACCAGAATGAAAGAAATTGGTCTTTGGGACAAATAGGAACGTGGCTGTGTTGTTTCGTGAAGATAAAAGTGCACTGGGACGCTGTTCAGCTGTCCTGAATGGAAGCTATGGAGAAATTCTGTAATTTTGAAAATAATATGGTCACAGACAAGTGACTACTAGACCCCATAAAATTATTCTCTGCGTTCTATGGTGACTGACAAAGTTCAGTTTGGAATTTAAAATAAAGACCAGTCATAATAGTTCTGGAAGGTCACATATAGACAGATGAGATTAATGGTCCAATGCGAAGTTTTATTCGTTTATAAATTATAAAATTAGAAGAATTAGAAAAATGATTAAAAAATTATAGGCTCGTATCACATTACGCGCAAAGCGTATCTTATCCTGCGAGTATCAGGTTAATAAATATGCAAAATAAAAAATGTTTTGTATTTCTGGAATATTTAAAGACTAATAAAATTTGTTTATTAAAAAAATCTTTAACTTTTTCTTGTACTCCATTCATACACTGTTCCACAATGAAATTCGTATATTCACAATTTACTCAGTTTACCCTTAAATATCCACAGGGTTCAGGGTGCAGTCCAGGGGTTAAACCGAACTGCACGAAACGGAAGTGACCAAGCAAAATAACTATTTAATGTATACGGCTATCGAATCACCCATCTGGCACATATGACAAACCCCATAGAAAAAACCATAAATAAACACGTCATAATATCCTCTCTATAATAACGCATAATAATAGAGTATGATTTTTCCAGGGTGGAAAATTCGCATTGTACCCCTATCTGTATACAGCCTCAATATTCATCTAATGAGCCATGAATAGAATTAGAATGCCGTACATAGTGGGTCCAAGAAGATCATATCTATTCGAAATTCATGATAAAGTTATCTAAACGTTTATCTATCCTGTTCTTATCACCAGCCATAATTTATTAGAGGGCTAGCAATGGCACTGCAAACCTTTTCAGCCCGTAACAGACACTCGATCGTCCCCTTGACGAATAATTTTGATAATCAATCAGGTTGATTAGCTCGTACGCTAATTAAGTGATCGTAAAGAAAATTTTGCATGGGCCAAACAGAAAAATGAGTTTTTACCTATAAATATTCTTCGCCACCTGTCTAATATACACTCGCATATCCGGTATCGTGCTAGGATTTCCGGTATGCGGTTGATGTGCCCTGCGGTGTCGCCCCTACGTGTATTCCGGAATACCCTGTTACACGGTACAACCCCCTAAGGGCTTGATGGGGCACGACCCCAAAACACTCTACGCTCCAATGCACCCTCGTGTATTCTTGCAGGGCCACCCCTGCAAATCGATTTGTTATTGCGGCACGTCATTGTTCTAATGATGAATGTTGAGAAACAACAGAGTGTTTCTCGTGTCGGGAAAAGCACGAGACTAATTTACTGCTTATCACTTGTACCTATAAGAAAAAATAATTTTACATAAAAAAAAGTACATTTTCGTCTGTCATTGTTACTAAACATTTTTAATAATTTTAAATAAAAAATTCAATTGTAAAAATAATTTAAAAAATGTCTTAACTCTGGGGTTGTTTCATCCATAAATATGGGGATTGGTCTGTTTCATTGAATGACACCCGGTATTATATAGATCTCGTATACCTGGACCATCAAGGGAATACATGATGAACATCAGTAAATCGATTTCACACTCCTGCTGGGTATAAATTAATAGACACTTAAAGCTGTCCCATCCTTCTAGTAGGTACCAGGATGTTCTAGGGGCGTTTTCCAGGGGGTCGCTCGGACCAGGTGTTAGACACGGAATATACCGGGTCAGGGATGCACCATGGAGAATCGTAGATCCATGGGGTGCCACTGTAGAAATAGGGCGGGATACACCCTCCAGAAACACTTACGGATCCTTTTTCCTATATCTGATGTAGAAAACCCGATTACGCGAATTAACACGCTCTCGAGACTGCAGAATCGAATGAGATATTTATATACAAATTGTAAAACGTTATATCGAATTTCCCAATCGATTAAACCTTTCCTCTGAACCAATACCATACTCTTTCAATTTTCTTCATATGTATCATAAAGATGTAATTATTAATGTTCGTCCTCCATCTGCATAAAAGATAGTATCATCCACTTTTATGCTTAAAACTTTTTATACTCTTATTGGATTTTCTCCAAATCCAGAGATAACATTTATTTTACGATTTTATATCTATATATTATTTTAGCACAGTACAATCCAATATTATTGTCCACGTGTCCACGTGTGCTCTTAGGCATATACGATATATACATATATATATATATATATATTATATATACAGATAGGATTTGGTATTTACATCAGATCTGCTGCAGTTATCTGTATGGATCAGTATTCGTAAAAATTCAACCGCACGACGAGCAGATTCTAATCCATTATTTTCATTTGGGATTACGCTTACAATAGTCTTGCTCGTAAAGGTCCATGAATTCAACGGACCTACAGTCCATTTCATCTGGAGCAATGCCTATAAGAATAAAGCATACGATTAAATTTTGATAAGATAAACTATAAAAAATGTTTCTTTCGTTACAGAAAAAGAAAGACAAAAAAAAGTGATTATTTCCAACAAAAAGATCCTGAGCTATAATTCATAATGGCACGATCATCGCCCCTTGGGGATACTAAACCAAGACTATATTTTATACCTGTTAATTACAGAAACTTAATGGACCCCTGATCCTAAGCACCCTAAAAATTTGGAACATATGGGTAGTTCGTAATAGGTTTTTGTTTATTAGACTGTCGGCATGACAAAGGTAGCAAAAAAATCCCAAGACGAAAGATAAATTTATTTTGTCATCCGAGTGCAAACGGTAAGAATTTTTTATTGAAAAACTTAATCAAATTTTGTACAGTAAACTTGTGTAATGGAATCAGGAAGTACTAGGAGATGCAAAGTGGCAGGAAAATAGCAATAAAAGAAATCACAGTAAGGTTCTAATTTCTAAAAATGTTGTACGCGTGCGAGACACGTGCCTGTCATTGAGTAAGGGTTGAATCGGGCTAACCATTTTGGTGACATTTGGCCCCGTGGTTGCAACCTGTAATTATGCACCCGATATAACCAGCGGCAGAAAACTACCCCCTTGCTGGTAGAAAACCGCGATCTGATTTCCATTACATTAATCAGTCAACTAATTACATCTAATAATAGACTTGGTTCTGTGCAATATGTCATTCTTATGAATACATAATTTGCATGAGCAACCCCTTGATAGAATTTCAAAACAGTATCGGTACTTAAAAAAAATCCATTCCAAGAAAATAATGTACAAAAAACTGATTTTTCAGTAAATCCACCCTTATACAGTGTGAAAAATAATTTACATAGTCGCTCGATTTCTCGTACCCGTTAAGGGTGGTACCGTAAGGGTAAAGATCCCGTAGCATGTAAATGGAAATTTGTCAGTAATAATTATCAGCAAAACTTACTCGTCTGCTTTTGCTGCGGGTGTTATCCAGTCTTGTAAAGAAATTCACCCCCATATGAAAGACACCCTTATCAGATCAATGAATAGGCGGATCCGCTACCCCAGCAACGTTGCATAGGCCGCCTCTGCCAACCCCCGATTGGACGAATAGATTCTGCACTCGTTTCAACCCTGCGAGTAGCTGCCGCCCCCTTATTCTGGCTACGGTTTCAGTATCACAAAACCGCTTAAATAATCAGCAGCATCGTGTGACAGCGCGTAGCTGTTGAATAGAACAGTTGAAACGAGTGTTGATGAATCTACCTGTAGTTCAAAGTGTACGACCTCTGAAAAGAAGAAACGAAAAATAAATAAGAAAGTCCAAGATACTATTAGGTCCTCGAAAATAAGTAGAAAAAATCGAATAAGTCCGACAAAAGTTAAGATGTAAATGAAAGATTATGGTTTTTCAAAATATAAAAAAATCTATCTAAGAGCTATGGTGATTTTGAGTTTCCGAAAACGTACAATTCTTCCGGGAATATACTACAGTGATTCTCGTGGTGCAAAGTGTCGAGGAATTGACACGTGATTACTGCAAGTGTGCATACGGAAATCTGACACGTGTCCCTTTGGATATCGAGCACGTGCCGATGTTTAGAAATATTCCAAACGACGCGTGTCGCACGTGTTAGCCATTAAATCACGAGATCCCGGAAACGTGTTCAAGTGGCAGTAGAAAAGGATATCGAAATTCCAGAGTAGATCACAGGATATTCCAAGTAAACAAGACTATGACATGATCCTTGTATAGTTTCGGAAATCAACAAGAAAATTGTCAGTGCCAACAGAAAGTAAAAAAAACTGTAAAATGGCAAAATCGCTAAGTGAAAAAAAAATGTGAATATTAATTATACCTAATAATACCGGAATCTAGTCAATTCTACTGGTCGTACGTATTATTGAATAAATAAATATTAAAATTCCTACTAAAAGAAACCTAATACCTGTATCAAAGAGGAATATCTAACCATAATATAGTATCAATCATATAAATAGAAATTAAATCCCACAAAGTGTATTCTTAAAACCGTTAAAAATGTATTCCATGGATAATTTAGAATTGGACATGATGAACAGACAGTATATATACGAGGCTCACAGTTTTTTGGGTAATCCAGCGATTCCCTCTTTACCACCGCATTGTGGAGCACCGACGGCAGCAACTCTGCCAACAATTCCATCTCAAATACCGTCTCATCCACCAGGAAGCACGGGAAGTACAAGCGGCAGCGATTTATATTTGTACGACGAAAACAGTAGCGACAACGAAAGCGCGTACAGCAGTGATCAAGAGAATCACACGAGAGAGTAAGTTGGCAAGATAAATAAAATTGTTAAGTAAAAAATTACGCCTTCAAAATAAATGATTAACTGAGATATCACGTTAAAGAAAGAAACAAGACGAAGGTAGAATAATCGAAAATTGGATATCGTATTGACAACGAGGTTACGCTTTCCAGAAGGAGTCGAGGTAGCAGACGACACGGTGGAGTTGGAAAATGTCCGCGTCAAGCTGTGCAGCGTCAGGCTGCCAATATGAGAGAAAGAAGACGTATGCAGAGTATAAACGATGCATTCGAGGGTCTCAGAGCCCACATACCCACCTTACCCTACGAGAAGAGACTCTCAAAGGTGGACACGCTGAAGCTTGCTATTGGTTATATCAATTTTTTGAACGAACTCGTACGTGCTGATAAAGGTAACGATCCACTTACTGGAAACGGAGGATTGTCCAGGTGTTCAGGAAGGGACGAGACGAAGAAGATCATAATCCGTGGTGAGGGTAGTTCTAATTGTATACATAAAAATCGTTCGATACGACAATCGAAACTTGGTGAAGAATTCGATTAGTATAAATCGAATGATCTACGCGCAAATTGTGACAAGAAAACTAATAAATACATTTATTCCGACCTCTACAGACAATCGATTGTCGTGAAACGATTGACGTAAAGTTCATAATGTCATGATAAGGAATTTATGATCAGGTTAATATACCTTATCGATTCTAGGAAAACTGAAAAATTAAATTTATCCAAATCACATAAAAGTTCGATTGTTACGTATCGAGAGATTACAGTACATAATGTTACGATAAGCAATTTATGAGCACGTGTTAATATACGTTATCAAGGACCACGAGTCATGATGGACATAAGTCACTTTCACATATGGTCGACGATACGACGATTGAAATTTGAATAGTAATAATACTTTTTTTTTGACAAAGACAAACTTCACGATACTGTAATAAATCAGAAAGTTACAATTGTCTGTTTTGACAAGAAAAATGAAGGATTGTACCGCGTGCGCATTACTGTTTACTTAAATTACATACTCAAACGTCTATCTAGCCGGTAGTTAGGTACTAAGGTGAACTTCCGGTTTCTAATAGTCCTTGGATTCTCTATCATTTATCATAATTACGCATCTGCCCTTTGACCGACAGGTGTCTGCAGACGACGTTCGGCGTCGTTCCCCACGTCCCACATGCAACATATTTTTCTCGTTAAATTAACTTTCCGTGTATACGCACAATTAATGAATCCACCATGATTTCACACCTGTAATTATATGCATAATTATTTTTCAGGTAGCGGGGGCAATCCGTACATCTCGCACTCGCTTTCGTGGTCCCGGAAGTCGGACATTTCGCCGAACGGGATGATGTACGCGAAAGTCTGGACCCCGGAAGATCCGCGAGCGACGAAAAGCGGCACGACGTTCGTCGAGTGATGCACCGCGTTGTTAAAATTTCCAAAATTCAATGACAATGGGACCTTCTTTTTCTTTAATATTATTCACAAACGCCCATCGTGTTATTTAGTGTGTAAGCAACGAATTCTAGTCACGGCAACGTCTGCTGAATGAGGATCTTAGTCGTCGGATAATTAATTACTTTACCTATTTCCCTGGCATATGCACTTTTTGTATAATCGTGATTATTATTGACAAACAATTGTCATTTTTATTTTTTCTAGTCTTCTACTTTGAAATAACAGTATTATTTGTAATTAATCTAATTATCCTTAGTGTCGTCATGCCAGAATCCTCGCGTTTATAATTACATCATAACACGTGTCTGATTATAGTAATTGAATATGTAAAATTTTATATCTATAAGACGCATAAATCATCCCTGTAAATTGTACAATAGAAATATTTTTTTCTCCTTTTCACAAACATTATTATCATCCGAAAAACAATGGCTGCGCGAGTTACGCTTATTTGTAAATAGCAAATTAAACGATTTATCACGATACAATAAGTAGATATGATTTATATTATAATTAACAAAGTGACACCAGCCAAATAAAGTAGATGCTCTATAAAGCTAAAAGAAATTTAAAAAAGATAAATTTATTCGTCCCAAATCTCATCAAAAACAAATTCCAAAAACCACCGACCCCCAGATTATTTCGAAAAGTCGTAATACGTCCTATGGGACTGGACTACGAATCCCGTAAGAAATTCAAATAATCTTTCCTGCAAATTTTCTACCCTTATTACGCTTCCTCGAGTTGAAACCTCTATTAGCTGAAACATCAAGGAGCATCAAGGCTTTTGAGCTTTCCGAATCTTTCATCCTGGGAACGTCAAGATGGCCGTGCAGCTGGTTTCTCTCATGAAGAGGCACTCACGTACAGGCGTACCGAATTTACGCTGCTTGCACGTTTACGCCGGGCGTAACGACGGGGAAGCGTCGCGATGGGCGGAGACGTCGATACCGCGTCGTCGCGAAGCTTTCAGAATGGCGTCGACGGCTGCGTATCTTCCCACGACGCGAATCCGTTCTAGGGATACGAAATAACGTGCTCGATCTACACTGTACTCTTGAAAGCTATACAGTAACATATATATATATATATATATATATATATATATATATATATATATACACACAAAAAGGTAATGACGTGTCCATAGGAAGTATTTAAAAAATGAAACCAAAAACCCCTGTCCTTTACATATTCACCCCAGTCGTCATCCCAGGAGCCTATATATATATATATATATATATATACATAAACACAAAAAAATGATATCCAAGACAACCTTTAGAACTTTTGATAAATACACTGTAGCTTCTTACGAATTCCTTGATCATCACCCATGAGCCACCTCGAGAAAAAAAAGTTGTTTCCTGCAAAAAAAAAATGACCAAAAGAAAAATAAATTTTCTTAGCCTGATTAAACTTCCCGCAACCCCTAATGTACTTGGCTACATGGTGATTCAAAACCCGTCACGCTAAAAGGTCCACGGGCTCCCGAGTTACTATCAGCTGTGAAAACAGTGTTGTTTATAGACATCGACACACAATGAGGTGTAATTGAATCCATATTCGTAAAAGGGGGTGGTTTGCCCAGCCCTACTTCAGCAAGGGTGGCACCCTGGTACCACCATCAGTCCTGGCCAACGTGAAAGTCCCGAGGGTCGATTTGCGGACAATTAGGAACAATTTCGTGGGTACACGGTGATAAGTATCGTAACACAATAATTCGAGGGTAGTTCAGGGTAAATAAAATTGTACGAAAAATTTAAATAAAAATGAAAATTCCTCATTGATACATCGAAACCAAATTCGATTATACTCAATACGTACGTGTATATCTATTTCAACATAGGGGTAAACAGTCCAAAGAATGATAAGGTCAGGTCACCCGACCCCTCTCTGACGATACGCGCAGGTGTTTTGAAACACCTGTATCAACGTCAGATAATGAGGTTAACCACCGCCGTGCACTTCATGTAACATGAGCAATATTTGTATTAAATATGAACAACACCCCTGGACGACAATCTGCACCCAACTGTTTTTTGTCATTAATAATTTTTTTCATCCCTCAAATTAAAGACTGATATTATCATCAGAGTATTGGGGGTAATGACGAAAAAAAATTTATTTGAAATAATTTTTGTAAATTCCAAAATTTCTTCCTACTCCCAATACTACTTGTATCCAGATCTCGTTCATCCGTCAACCGTATTATTATTTTTTAATACGAAATTCTAAAGGGGTGGCGAAAGGGTGTGATGATCTCGAGCTTTCGGAATAATCGGCTCGGACGCTGCGGCCTATCGATGTACATAATGCCCCGAGAAATTAGCAAACCATAGACCCACTTTCTTCTGTGTACCAGGGGTGTATTACTAGGGGGGCTTGACGCTAGGGGATGAACCCCCTGGCACTTGCGCTGATCCTCGCAGCTGGAGTGACACACAAATAAAGTATTAATTCTCGACTATGGTTACAGTAGGACATCGCTATGGCAAGAGTTACACTGACGCGATGCACAAAGGTACTCGTACGTATGACCGACGCGCAGAATAAAGGTTCGTTCACACGGACAAAAAAATGAAATTAAGTAGCAATCAAAATTTTACCATTCGATTGAAAATCGAACAATTCTCGATCGAATAGAAGAAAAAAAAAATTGAATCGATGACAAGATAAATTTTTGAATACAAATTTTTTTATTTTCACGTAAAAATCGTTATTAATTAAACGCATGATTGTAAGAAATAATTTTATTTTATTTATATTCATCAAAAAATTCTAACCTTGTTTTCGTAACCGTCGTGCGTACGATGCTCGTTGTGAACGTAGCCTTAAGTGCCTATCCAGCATGAATTGAGCAAAGAGAGCATCCACCCTCGGGCCCCGATCATTGAGAGGCCCCCTGGAAAAATTAGGACACGCAAATACCTGGGCAGCTGCACCGCAGGGGTTCAGATAGTCTGCCCAAAAATTCACCCTCAGCCACCCCAATGCCCTCGAGTACGGTTTCGCGCTTGCGTCACGCGTAGGACCACCCCGTTGTCGCCTATTATGTTAAAATTATCAGAGAAAGGAAGAAAGGGGAAGAAAATAAGCGTGTACGGTTCGACCCTTAAAAAGAGGGTAGTACCTGCTCCCCGGTCATATAGATAACGTTTAAATAATTACGAAAATACGAGCCAAAATTTTCGCGCAATAACAATTCAATTAGTTAGTCAAAATTATTTGACACTAAAATTGCCACCCTCAAAAAAAGCGAGGAGGTCCGATAGCTCAAAACAAAGAATAGATAAAAATTCATGTACCCGATAAAATCAAAAAGAAGTGGGGCAAAGGGGCTGTTCCATCTCCCCCCCTGATAGGAATCGAATGTGTCGTTAAATCCAGCGTGAAAACTCAGCCGAGATATCGTCCTCGAAATCCTATTAGTTCATATTTTAAGTCTCCCCTCCAGCCCCGACAGTAATGCCACGACAATGGAGCTCTTTGAATTTTTCTCTTTTTTTTCCCTTTTACAATAAAGAGCGTTACAGCCATCAAACCATCCAGCAGTTACAAGAGTAGATGAGTTCAACTTAGAGTAAAAAATATATATATAAACCTCATACCCTTACCGATCCGAATTTGACAGATATTGTTTCTCAATTGTACACATAAATAAATAGGACAAGAAATGCGTCAAAGATAACCTCAAAAAGTGTTATCAGTCAAATTTTCAGTAAATACAATTTTTGTTACATAAAATTTCTTTTTCTAACCTCGTTATCTCTCTGTTACGATTTCTAATGAGTGCTCTCTATAAAATTGTCTATATTGTCCTTATCGCATTGCGTGACCCATACTTACATATTGCGAGTATGTATTTAAACGGACGTTGGAGTCATATTGATTTGGCAGAGACGAGGTCGCAGGTGAGTTTTCCCACGACCCCCCCGAGCAACCCGCGGCTGATGACTACGCCGGTATGATGGAATTTTGAAAAAAAAAAGAATAAACCACGATACGTAGAGCCAAGCAAAGAAGAAGCAAAGTCAAGTTCCAACCATAAAAGATGCATAACCTCCAAAATAATTTTGCCGGATAACCAATAGAGAGAAAAAAAAATTACCAAAATCAAGTAAAATTTGGTAACCTAGAAAAATTGGTTATGATCATTCGATTTGTCGGATCGATGGGTATTTTGACTTTTGATATGAGAATGTAAAAAACAATCAGACTTTATTAAAAATTCCTCCCTTGGAAACACATATGGCATTTCGTATGGTAATTCTCTTATGGTATCGTTCGTACAGAGACGGTTCGAAGATCATAGAAGATTCGCGACCTACCAATTTTTCACGATTTTTATATTCAACGTCACTTAAGATTGTGTCCCGAGTTCAGAAAATATACAGGGTGTTTTATATCGATCAGCAAGACCTTCGAACTGTTCCGTATCTTACGCGTAACTTTATACATAAAACAAAAACTAGTGCCTTAGTTTTTCTACGATAGAATACATATATATATATATATATATATATATATATATATATATATATATTTGTTGTTGTTTTGCTCCTGAGAATATGGTACAGTATAGATACAGTATCCTACGAGACAACCTACATAGTGGAATTTTGTATACAGGGTGACAACTACGTAATGCGCGTAATATAGTTGCAAGGCATGTAGACTATAAGGTAACGATTTAATTAGAAATCAAATCGTACGACGCAATAAGTAAAGAATGACAAAATTCGAATGACGATGACTATATCGATGAATTTATGTAAAAATCGATAGAGTCATGCGACTCGAGGATGAATAAAGAAAATTTCAACAGCATCAACGATGACGACGTAAATTCTTGTCTAAGATGATCGACATATTTTTTTTAACTCCACCATCAAAATCTAATTCACGTTATCTTACATGACTAAGATGATATTATTCGATTACGTAATTAGCAATCGAGTTAGCTGCGCTGAATTATGAAAAAAAATTTGGCACGATCGACTGTGGAAAAATATGACTTTTCTGTCCGTATTTAATCAATTTTCGCTCGATCGCTCGATCTCTCCGAAATGTCAGTTGGGATTTAAAAAAAAAAAAAAAAAAAAAAGAACTATTTTTCCGTCACCCGTTCAAGCGGATCTTTTCGAATTATCCGGACAACGAATAAAAAAATGTTCCCTGCCAGAGAGATCGGCGTTCAAAGAATTCTAAGAAATTTATTCCTCTTAGAAAAATGTATCAAAGTCCGTTACGACTATTCGTATCGTTATCTCAAGTCTGGTTGTGAATTACCGATCGTTGTCATTGATTAAATTTGAGGTGTAATTTTCCACAAGAAAAAGTCATCCAATTCGTTAAAATAGACGATATTGAACATTTGAAAAATCATAAACAGCAAACGACCAACGATCGATAAATCAACGAACTAGAATGTTTATCGACCCGAACGCATACCGACGATCGTCAGAGTTAATACCAATCGGTAGGAGTATATTTTTCAAAAAGATAACATCCGAAAGTAAACCGATTCCCTGAGTGATGATCGAATAATCTGTAAGTCTTGGTGTTTCACTTTTTTTTTCTATTTCAATCTCTCTCTCTCTCTCTCTCTCTCTCTCTCTCTCTCTCTCTCTCTCTCACGTTATCATCTAATGCATCTAATAGTCTAAGCTTTATACACGCCAGTATATATATATAATTTACAATCTAAAATCTCGATGATTATTAATTCTGTCTAATTAATCGCTTATCAGTCGAATTGCATTCGAATCCGAACATAATTGTCGTTGGATTTCAAATATATTGACGCACGACGAATACGCGACAAGGTATGGCGATAATTTAACTTTTTCTCTCTCTGTCTGCCTCATTTTCATTTCTTCCGTCCTTCACTTAGATCGATTAGAAAATATTCGCATCCCGAGCGCTCACGCAATCAATCAGTGAGCAGAACAACAACGTGACAGGATTAAGATCCAATTAATGTTTTTGCGTGAGGTAATACAGTTACGATATTTTCTTTCTGTGCGTGTAACTGTTTTACAAAAGATTTTCATGTCTCGCATTCTTCTCTTCTTCATTGCTGAGCTTATGATTGTGTAATCTGAAGTGAGCGCCTGAGATTGGGTGAGAGCGAGGCGCTATACAAGATTATGAAAGGCAGGTACAGGAATTTGTTGATACATTTTTTTTTTAACGCCATAGCTCTCACGGACATCTGTAAGATTTTTTCTTCGCTCTGTTTTTATAAACTTTTCAAACGATCTCAAAACGCGTAAAACTAACGATCACCGATGGAACAGATCCTTTGTAATTTTTGACATGAATTTGTGAAAATGAAAACAATAAAAAAAAAAATGGTAAAGTTGTACGATAATAAAAATCTGGATTACCAAGTAGAAATACCAATTTGCGGTAATAAAATTGTCAAAAACAAAATTATCGCTCTTGAGCTGCGATCGAGAATTTTGAAAATTAAAGGTAAAACGATCTTCGCGTAGGAAGCAAAAAACTCAATGAAATTTCATCGACCGCAAGTACATATGCGTCTACGCACACAGGAAATACAAAAATTTGGGATTCTTCCGGCATTTATAAATAAATATACAATCAATCGGTCTTCGTTCTAGATGTCAATACAGTTAAATCTATTTATATCGATTCATCCACGCAAATCAATAGATTTGCGATTAACGATTACATCAAGGATGTTCGGTAATTCTCCTATAGATTGTGACATTTGCGATTCCACAAACGATACACGAGAGTGAATTAACATGAACACTATTGCATTGGTCTTTTCGGGCAGTCTATGTGGTGAGTTAGATAAATCAAAAATAAAACCAATTGACTAACTCGCTTGGGCAATTAAAAAAATAATTACATTATATAATTAATAAGAAATAGAACGAACACACGCTTAGCTACGGCCTGACGATTTCTACTCAAACTATTTCACAGCTATGATTCGTGTGGAGGGCAGTGCTCAGTGTTGTACAATACAAAATTTACAATATTATTAATAGGTTTCAGATTAACGCGTTCTGAAATAGATTGCGGCCACGTAAACAATAGTGATGGCCATCCAAAGGGATGCAACGATGGTGCCTCAATTGGTTAAAAAAAATTTTCCTTCGACAGCCAACCAAATACGAATTACAGAAAATAATCTAAATTGATAACTAATTCAGAACATAATCATTAAAAATCATTCTTACTTAATATCTTTGTTGCAAAATTAAAAAAGTGTTCTTGAAAACAAATTTTACTGTTTCGTCTTCTACTTCGCAATGGATTTATTCTTCTGTCGATGTCAAGCATCAGATATTACAAGTGTGCTCGCTTTGTAAAACTGTGAAAATTAAGAGACAGGAGCAACTTTTTGAATTGCCAAAAGCACCATCGTTGACTTACAGGCAGTTATTGTTTATGTTTAAGTTCAATGTACACCTATTGTATTATTGCTATTCGTCGCCATAGGTTTCACTTACGCGCTAATGTTTGTACATCTGTGGGCTTTCTCGGTTCGCATTGATCGACAGTTGAGAGAAAACAAAAATAATTAATTTTTCAAATAATCCCGAATTCGTATCTTATTACTGATTCGATAAAAAAAAAAGTATGAACGTTCTCGGTCGCTTCGGCGGAGTCCATTGTTACCATCGTAGGCCAACCCTCCATTGCCGTAATTCTTTTTTCTCTTCCCCCACGCCTCGTTTTCGGTTGCACATTAGTCGCAAAAATTTGGCACTGACGTTGTTACGCAGAGCCAGTAGCATCTAGCTTCTTCTTATTTTATACTTCTAATACGTCCAATTTAGCCTCTCAATAAATAACCTTGCTATGGGCCTGAATTATATGATGTATAATACAATAGCATGATAATAATAATTAATGTTAATCGAATTTTAAAAGTGATTTACGATTTACATTAATCGTACGTAATCATCGAGTTAGACTACTGAATTTGAATTTAGTTTAAATATAAATCTAATCAGCGCGAATCAGGCTCAAAACTCTTTAAACTTCCATTATACACTTTAGAGAATTAAAAACAAAAAAGGAAAAAGAAACAATAGTCCCCAAAATTAACACAAAAATGATTACAAGCCGAAACTAATCCTAACTAAACTGGCCGTAACCGCCATTTAGTACGAGAACACAATGATATGGAAATCAGCAGCTTTTTCAAACGACGATAAAAGGTGCGACCAGATTCGAAAACGTAATGACAATGGTTACGTTACGTTACGTTTTACGTGGCAGTTTTTCCTTCTCTTCTTATTTGACTTTGTGACATGATTGACGCGAAATGAGTGACAAATAGAGATGCAAATGAGATATACGAAATGAACATAAATACTACCGGGTCAACCCTTTAAAATCATTAAACATTAAACTCGTCATTCGGATTGACGTATGCAAATATCAACGGATGAATTAATCAAGTACAATATTTACATAATGACGAAAATTAATCGTATCGAGACCTTATATAATATTTCACATCACAGTTTGACGTTCCAGACACAGAGTCAGAAATCCGGGGTTAAAAAGAGAAAGTTACAACTTTCTTCAAAGAACAGAAGGGAAAGCTTAAACATTCAGGATCTTCGAGTCAGCGTCGGTACATCAAACTTCATCGAACATTGAATTACGCGTCGTCAAATTTTCGAAAATAATCACGTGATGAGAAGCCACTGTATTCGAGCTATGTAGTAAAATGAAGTAAAAGAAGAAGAAATATGAGGATGTGACGTAGGAAGAGGTGAAGAAGGATGCGTAAGTGAAATTCATCGGCCAAGGATGGTCCTGGCATTAACTACCAGAAGTAATCCTCAATGTCTACGATGATAACGAGTCTGGCCTGTGCAGTAATTAGTACCAGTGTTGGACTTGACACGCGTATCCCGACTTCGCCGGCCCTGGGCCTGGATCTACCTTCAGCTGGGTTTCCCTGGTGGACCATGGCTAGTCGGGGAAGGTCCATGCGAATGAAGATTATGCATACTAGCACCAGCCTGACTACTCGTCAGATTGGACATAGCTGGTTGATACATAGAAGGCATGTAGCTGCTAGATGACTGCGGAACTGACCTGATAAAAATGTTCATAATCAATATTGATCGCGGGTAACAAAAATGCAAAGGAATGTGATTACTTACCTGGGAACTCCTCGAAGAGGATCCGGTGTTACAGACGAGTTACGTACTACTCCAGAATTATTAGCATTGGCGGCGGTGACGATGTTACTAGGTTGACCCTGATGATAGCCACTTCCAGCCGGACTGTGCCTGTGTCAAGCGTCAAAACAAAGATTGAATTTGAATGCCCAATCTTTCTGTTATCTTGTTCAAGACAAGTACGTTACCTTATCGTCGGGCTGGGTTGCGGCGGCACTAGGGAACCTCTGTGCTGGTACTGAGATAAGGAAGCTGCCGCAGGAGGTGATGGATCCGGTGGTAAACCATTTTCCATCGCTGTGGAATGACTGCTGGAACTTGAATGTGGCAGGTAAGTGTTGTTCACACGAGACTCGCGATTTACACGGGGTAATTGGGCTTGTGCGCCTGGTGGGATGTCTGGATGTGGGATGTTAGGATGCGATGGGTTCACTGTTGGATGTATGTTGTTTACTGCAAGAGACAAAAAGCATGTCAAAACACTTTCTTTTCTAAAACTATTTACAAAATTTACTTGTTTTTGTTCTCACCTGGATGTGTACTGGGTTGCGTTGTCAATGGAATTGCCAGCCTTGCGTTCACTGCCAGTAAGTGATCTCGCCTTTGTAAAAGGCTGTTCACGTGTTCCTCGAGTCTTAGGTTTTCTGCTCTCAGTTGATGCAGACACGATAGTAGTGACGCGACTGTAATACCATTAAGCAGAATTTATTAACTAAAATTATTTAAAAATTGTATTGAAGAATATACGATTGTATATTAGCAAAACTACTTATTCAAAGGCAAGAAATAATAAGTCTGGCAAAAACAATTCTCATGACAATATAAGTGGCGGTCAAATTTCCTCGTTTAGAAATAACCCGGCGTGCAGCAATTACAAATAAAACACAAAACCCCATCACTTGCGAAACCCATGCTACTATAAAGCGTGTTTCCTTGCCGTACACTCACTGTCAAAATGCTGGGCCTGTTCCATCAGGAATTGACTGCCCTGCTCCCACTGTCTCTCCAGAAGTTGATCTAGTGTTTGCGGAATTGCACCGCCGCCCAATGTCCCTACGCCAGCTACATTGTTAGAATTCGTGTTGCTGTTCGTCGAGAAGACCGACGACAGAGAGGCTGCAGGTGCGGTCGGTTGGTTGGATCTTATCTAGTATTAGAATAGTCAGCAAATAAGCATCCGTCTTGCAGTTCCATTATTATCATTAGAAAGCGTCGCGGTGCCATACGTCTTAGGAACTTACAGAAGCAATAACACGACTGTGAAGTTGCGGTCCAACTAAACTGGTAGTTGGATTATTCGACTCCGTAAAAATAGAATGAGCCTCCAGTTCCTGGGAAAGAGTATCCGACATCTTTTGCGCCATCGTCGAGGTAGGATTTAACTGATTACCCAACATGTGAGGTGCGCTTACTCCATTTTGAAACCTATAACATTCCATAACGAATTTGAACATTGTCTACCATGTATAGTGATCTTACCAGAGGATATAAAAACTCAATAAATTGTCTTACAATTTAACATCCTTTTCTTCCTTAGTACAGCTTAAAAGTGTAGTCGGTGTATTTGATGTGGAAGGTGTGGGTGTCGTTGAAGCAGCACCAGCACTCTTTCTCTTTCTTCGTCCTGGTCCAGAGCTACTCATGCTCTCCGAACCAGGACTACTAGGTGGTGACTCTTTCACAGTAGGTCCCATAGTACCAACCGAACCAGAGCCCACACTGCTAAAGTGGCCTGTGCCTAGTGTGGGACCCTGTATTATGGAGGGTATAGGAGCCACTGTTATGGACGGTGGTGGCGTCTGATGATTACTCCTGGCACCCCGCTTCGTCGTGGATACCACAGTATTATTTGATACAGTCGTTGATGTTGCTGTGGAAGCTGACAATGGAAGTGGAACAGTTGTAGCTGGCTGACTACTCGGCGTGGAGCCACGTTTCGGTTTTCTGGTCTTCTCCGGCTTGTCCGACGACTGAGATCTACAATTTTTATTTCAACATACATCTTGAGGTCACTTATGCCACAGCCAAGCTCATATCTATATATTCCAACGCGTCGTTCCGTGGAAACAGCATTTAGCTGCTACATAAATAGAGTTACATCACGCGAGATACATTTACGCGCTATCCCTCTTATCCTTCAGGAAAAACACAAACATAACCTCAAAATTTTCATCAACCCCTAGTAACAAGTAAGGTACGAGCGTCGAAAGATCATAAAAAACAATAAATTATAGTATTCCAGTTGGCAAACAATACAACACTTTTGTCTCGTTAGTAACGGAACGACAATATATAGTAATGAAATGACCTCGAATGAACCGCTGTGCTCAATACATAGCGAGCGGACTACTGTTATAAACACTCTATTTTTTATTGAGGAACGCGAATATATCTTTGACGAATCTGAGAGAATGGCTCAGGCGAATGATGATCTTTACCTGATATTCGATATTTTCGGTTAAATTATGTCACTTTCTCACTGAAAAACCGTATTATTCGTAGGACGGAGTACATTATCACGCGCGAAAGAGGTTAGAGCAACCTGCTTGTTTACCCCCCACATCGGCCATTTTGAATACGGCACAGTGCACTCATGCAACTGCAAGCCAGCAGGCGGTGTTGAGAAGCCCGCCTGATTGTAAAGGCGCGTTCAATGTAGATTGTATTATTCTGACATAGAATCAGCTGTTTAATAAAACTTTAAATACGAGAATTGGTTATATAAAAAAGCTATACGCCTTCCTGACCATTCTAAAAACAGAACTGGAAGCTTGTTTGATTTGTAAAGATAGTATTGAAAAAAGAGAAGACAATTCAGAAAGTAGATATTTATAAACAGTTGTGACGTCTTTACTCAATAAAAACAAATAACACTATTTGTATCTTTCGAGTAAATATTATTGAAACTATATTCTACTATATACCTCAATTGATAAATAAAAACTCACCGACACCTTTTCATTGGTTGATCCTCTGATAGAAATCGTTCAGCAGCGTTGGGCATCACATTTGTCCTGGTATCTTTAGACACTGCAGTTGTAATCATACTTTCCTGCAGTTGCTGATACAACGTTGGTGCATTAGTGACAACGCTCTGAACAGAACTTGGTAGGGAAGTGGCAGTCAATGGTACTGACACCACTATGCTGTTTGATATTGTTGTTGGTGACTGCGTTACAGCTGATGGGTGACTGTGAGATATTGACATTATCACAGGTGTTGTTGTTGCCTCTGTTGCAATGGAAGTGCTGATAGACGGCTGAATCGGTGGACTTTCAACCTTCAACTGTAACAACAATGATAAGTTGAGAACTCACTTGCTAGAAGCTCTGAAAGCCTAACATCTGGCTCTAGTCATATGATAGAATCAGTTGCTGGACCATCGATACGGTTTTATTACTATTCGGAGTGAAGTTAGTACCTTCTTAGATTTTTCAGGTTCTGTCGTTGTGCTGAGACTCGTGGCTTCTGTAACAGTCGGCTGTACTGTTTGATTGGAAGTGACAGTCTGCTGAACAACAGAGCTAACAGCAACGACAACCGAGCCACTGGCTTCAGAGCTAATCGAGTGATTCGAATTATCGTTACTGATGACAGTAGGTGTCCTCGCGCCAGTCTTTCTTTTTTTACTCGAATGACCCGAGGACTTGCTCGAGGACGACGAACTAGACTTCGACTGATTGCTGCTCTTGTGAATCAAATTTGAATTAGATCCGGAGGACTTGACGGTGACGGCGGTGCCTTCGTGGCCGAATACGCTCTCTGACTGGGTGACAACGGTCTCTACGAAATTGGAAGTTGTGAATTTACTTGAATTCGCGGAGTTTTCTTTGGGCGTGTTACGACCGCTACCGCTCTTGTCGTCGGCGACTCCGTTTATCTCTAGGCCAGGACTAGCGCTAGACTTGCTTTTTGAGCTCGATGTTGCCGACTTGGAGCTCGAACTTTTCCGCTTGCTACTAGTAGAAGTTGACTTCATCGGGGTCTCCGCTTCCTTTTCCGGCGAGGAATCCGATGAACCATTGTCCGCTGGTATTGGTTTGTATGGTGGGATCGTCTTGACGTTGCCGCCCTTCTTCTGGAATTATATGTCATTGCCCTTCTTGTTATTATGCATCCGAATCAACAGTACTGACAAGACTATGTGTTGCACGACCGATACACGCGCATACAGAAACATCACCTTCGATTTACTAACCAGCTTCGAGTAGTGATGCTGACAATACCCGCAATATTTTACATTGTCCAGGTAATTGCCAGCCTCTTCACAGAGCAAACCTAGAGCCTGCGCGCACGTTACGTGAAACTGTTGCCTGCAACCGGTCTTATTGCACTGCATGCAAGCTCCTACGTTTGCCCTGCTCCCACGACCTTGCTCCTCACAAATGTAGCACGTCTGAAATGACAGGTATTTATATCCATTGGAAAGTAATAACAATATCTCTTTTTATATTTTTTTTATACTGAGTCAACTACTCACTTTACTGAACCTTTCGGAAGGTATGAGTTGTAGTATAATGGGCTCCATCGTGGTGACATTTCCAAAGCGTACCTCTGGAATATAGAGGGCACATACCACGTGGGCCCAGCCTGCTTGATCCGTCCTCTTAAGAGCTCCATCTCGGCTCGGACACAACTCGCAACGCTGTTCCAACATTTTGCATTGCAACCACACAATTACTACATCCGACATCTTACATAGAAGTTAAAAGCTAGAGTTTTTTTATGTCTGAGTTTGCCGAGACTACATTTTTCCATATTTTTTACTCCATAGAATGCTTGTTGAACCCTGACCTACTTCTTTTTACTTGATGCAAATTTCTGAAGTAAATAGTAGACTTAAAGGCTTGTGAAGAAACCATGAGTCATGAATTAAGGTCATCGATTTTTGATGTGTAGTATCATTGGGTAAGATTTATATTAAAAGAGAATAACTTAATGAGGGGTAAAAGTAACTTACCACGCGTGTACTACGCTCTTGTGATTCACATTTTCTGCAGTACCACGGTCCTGTTGGTACCGTAACGATACCATAGCATGCTGTAAATAAACAAAATCATTTTTATTGATGCACCTGCTGAGTCGTGTCATAAAAAGTATAATCTTAACAAAACAAGCTGACAAGTAAAAATATGTTAAAAATTCAAACAGTAATTTACGAATAATAACTGTCATGCATTAGCATATGATAAAAAAAAAGGTCATTTTTAATGTTTTGTAGAGCATAAATATGTATTAATATGATACATAAAATGGTATAGCAAGATTTATATTGTTCTTATAGCTCTATGTTTTTCTCAATTGTCATACTAAAGAAATGGCAGTAATAGTAGAATCACAGAGGTGGTCCCTTTTACAACAGTAGGGGGTAAAGCATTATGCTTATATATTTTGATATTATACAATACAGTTTGGTGAGCATAACACAGAAAAATATAATACATTGATACTCATTATAATAAATACATAGTTCTATCAATTTACATCCAATTAAATTTGTTAGTCAACAATGTTTGTTGCTGTTATCGAATAAGAATAAGATAATTCTTATTTTACTTATCGATAATTAAAACTTATCAAGATAAATTATCACTCTTTTCCAAACATTTATCTCAATGTTATTCGTGTAATAAGATGCTTCAGTATGTTTTATAAACTACAAACAAAATGTAGTACAGAAATACCATAGCTCATACCTACAATCAAACCATACTAGCCTACACAGCGAAACCTAAAATGAGTAAATAGCAAGAACCACAGCATCCCAACAAGGAAGAGCATCACAGCTGATGACCCTACAAATAATTTGAAACATACCTTGGTGAACAGCGACAGTACATCCCTGTCCATCGCAGTACACCAGCGGATTTTCAGTCCAACCCCGCTCATCAGAACACACGCAGCACCCTCCAAGCATCTCCTTCATGCTGTGGTCCAGGCGGCCCGAGAGACGAGACTAGCAGCCGGAGCTAGGCCAGCCGACGAGGTTGAACTCGTGTACTCGTTCTTCGTGGGGACATGCCGACGACGATGAGGTCGACAAGGATACCTGATCCACTGGTTTTCCCTGGTTGTCTCGTGTGGCTGGTACACGCGCGTGACGCATCCAACGACCGTAGATACCCGGTCGGTTCCTCTATCCCAAGTATAACTCTAGCTTCTCTTTTCACAAAGAATAACGTTGTCGCCCTAAGCCCTGGCACTTGCCTGGCCACGCGACTAACGTACCTGTCCAATACACGCGGAATTCACCGCTGAAACGCCCTCGGACGGTTTGTTATTTACGACGGCGCTCTATTTGTTTCGTTGGGTGGCCATTTTATTTTGTTGTTGCGCGGTTTGCGCGCATGCGCACTATGCTGCGCGCCTCGAAAATGCATCATGGCCGAGTGGCTGCAACGCGGGCCGCGTGCGAATTCACTACCAACCCGGCTGTACTAGTAGGACATACATACATATGTACTGTGTCCACGAAGAAAACGCTGGGACTCTATTGAGCATCAGGGTGAGAATACTCAATTATAATCGGGATATCATCATTGCGTACTAAGAGTAATTTCTATTGATCAGAGTTGAGTAAATTTTCAGCACTTAAATATTAAAACCAACCCTAACAGGCATAATAACAGCATGCTTTACAAGATGCTGTTATTACGCTGGCGATATACAGGATTATTTGGGGATCAGAGCCGTTTTTGGCTATCTGAGAATATAGTCATTTTCGTAAATACACTAATACCACTTTGATCATCTCCTTTTAACGTAGAAACGTGAATTGAATGTACCTATGCAACAATAAAATGCTAAATTTTGTAATTTAATAAATATCTTAGGTGATTAATGCAACATTTTTTTTTCAGCTACCGGTATTGGAATGCTGGAGAGTTCTTGGCATTATCTTTTTTATCTGCGTCACGATAAATTGTACTTAACTTATCCAACCTAGCTTATTCTTTACCCAAACCGGTACGTATTAAATTGTGTTCTTTAATTAGGTATGACTGCATTCGACTTATGAATTTTATATTTAAAGCTAATGGAGGAGTCTATTTACAATTGAATGATAATCATCGAAGTAACATTAATCTCAGAGAAACTTCTTACTGAGGTCATAGGAGAGATAAGATATGTAAAGTGATATTACAATAGGAGTTTCCTATAGTATCTTCGGTATAATTTTATTTTTTATGATTTTTCGATAACTCAGACCCAGCAAACATAATATTACATATAACGTGCACATTAATGGCCATGTGTCATCATTCATATAAGATCACCCGGTACAGTGATGTTACATAACCGAGGGCTACGTTCCAACTAACGTATGCCTTATATGCAATATTGTATTCGCCGGGAATTATTCTAGATGTGTGTAATTTTCAATGCTAGACTCATAGCTAAGAATAATTAAACAATTTATTTTGAAATAGTTTCAACTAATCAATCTCTTCAGGAAAGAAAACTAGTATGGAATCTACAAAATCTATTCAGCTACCGGATGGTTACTTGCTGAAATTAGCAGATAAATCTGAACTTCCAGAAATTTATGAATTTCTTGGAAAGAATTTTAATCGCGAAGAATCGATCGCCAAGTGTCTCTTTGCTGGAAAAAATTTTGACGAAGAAGAAGAGAAGCTCATCGAAGAAGATGAAAATCTCCTGGTTGCCGTTGCCTTCGAGCGATCACCTTGTCCTGTAATTATTCATAAGAAATCGAACAAGATTGTCGGAGTAAACGTGACAATTTTGACTAAAAGGCCAAACGGATCGGAAACTGCTACCTCCCTTTACGGGGAAATAAAACAAAAAACAAAAGTGATTGCTGATTATTTCAATTATATGGCAATTATATCGGACGAGGCTGATATTTTTAATCGATATCCAAACGTGAAAGCTGCATTGGAATTTTGTATAATTGCCGTAGATAAAAATCATCGAAGATTGGGTCTGGCTAAGGTCTTATCATTATCTGGACTTGAAGAATCGAAAAAACTTAAAGATGTCGGTCTGATATTTGGTTTATACACATCACCCTACTCGAAACGCGTAGCTGAAAAAATCAACATGAAATCCATTCTGAAATATGATTTATTAAGATTCAAGGATGACCGTGGCCATTCAATATTTCAAGATTTAATACCAAATAATATATGCTCTGTAATGACTCTAGAAATACTATAAAACAAAAACACAATATATCAAAATATATATCGTTATAAAGAATATAATGCATCAAAATAGACGTAGGATCATCCTACAGATTGAATAAACTTATAATTTACATTTTACGAGATTAACTTGTATGTCGCTATACGATTAGTACCTTTTCTTATTAACCCAACCTTCTCCAGTCGTCTATTTTTACAGATTCAAGGACCGCGACTGCGCATTAGCCATTTGATTCGTATTTTCGCGCGTTTTACCACAGATGGAGCCGCTGTTCCGATTTCAGTTTAAATGCATTATTTACTCGCGGCAACAAATCGTCTATTACGGACAATTACCTGAAGTGACTCTTTTAAGAAAAATATTCCTATCATGTTATACAATCGCCCAGAAAAGTTACACCTCAAAAGAATTTCAGTCTTGAATTATAGAAGTACTTGTGAGATAATTCAAGAACAAAGGCGCTACGTGCATGATATTTGAAACCTCGTGAACGGGAAAGAAACGTCGCAAGATCATAACACCCATCGATGAGACGTCGCTAGTCAGGTAAGTGACAGTTTATAAATATAATAAACATTTTTTTCTTTAATATAAACAGTATTGCTACAGAAATTGTCTATTGCCATCATCGTTTGAAGATCTTTATACTACCCAACATACTGCTGGCCTTCCAAAGCTATTAATACGTTACGCAATACTGTAATATCTATATACATATATAGATGCATACATTCTACAAACTACGTAAATTCACACGCATCGTTCATTAAGTTCGTATTTCGCGTTTACGATCACAGTCTACTGATTTTTATGATTCACGAGATGACACTCATGCATTAAACAAGATGCATTACGTCAAAGTGAACTACACAGGCAAATTTATTTTTCCCGACTTGGCGTCTTCTGAATATTCTATTTTTATCACCAAGCCAATTCCTTTAACTTTGTGATATTTGTGGAACGCGGCTTTAGACAATTTGTATGTCGAGTCAGTAACGTTTTTGACCGGCTTTGATATTTCCCGCGAATTAAATCACGTGCAGTACACGATAAAATTTGTCTGGTCCACACATTTTACACTTATATTCAATATCCACGCTCGTTACGCATATTAGATTATACAATTTTTATTTGATATCTGCTTCACTAGCGTGTATATTATCCTTTATCCTTTATTGATCACACTGTGCTGTACAACCTTCTTCACGAGTACACTGAGCCGCCTGAAGTTTGTTTCTAAAGCAGAGATCAAATAAATGGGCTAAATTCAGTCGGTACAATGATACTGTATATGTAATATAACCATAATATAATCTATGAATACGTATAGTCACATGTCTATACAATGGTATAGCAACTTGTGACGGCAACTTGCAACACTCCGGAATTTATTCAGTGTTGCTTATCAGGTCGGATAGTTATACGTATATGATTACAAGGTCGGCTTCGTGGTAACGGCTATACACATGTGTATATCTATACATATTAGGAAATATACGTTGCTCAGCTGGTAATGTAGACTGAACAAGTGGTCAGTGTAATAAAGTCTGTCGCGGGTTAACAAACTGTCTGAATTACCAAAGTTTTCATTATGAGGTCCGTGAAAGCGATTATACATTTTTCATTGGATATTATTTAAAATGTCACATTAAATCCTTTCGTAGAATATTTGAAAACGTGTAGAAAAAATATTATTTCGATAAGGCTCGACCTTTGATTTGTTACGAATGAAAGCGTATAATCATGTGATTGGAGACGTAATAGAGAAACATCGGGTTCTTGGACTAAACGAAAAGTTTCTTTTGAATTTAAAAAAATGTTTTTAATTGTTATTTTGAATTTTGACCATGACAAATCTTTTGATCTTTTCACAGTGTACGTAAAAGAATGCCGTCTTATCGTTTATGGGGTTCCATGGATGATGGGAACGTGGAATTTGAATCGTTGACTAGCGAGACACTGGACGGTGCTCTTCGTGTGATAAGAGAAAGTTTTTTCAAGAACGAAAGTGTTTGCAAGGGCGTAGACATCATTGAGGAGCCTGGTGCTATGAAGGAACTTGAGGAACTGTGTTTGGATGCCGCCAAAGATGGAGTCAGTGCAGTAGCTATATACGTTCCTACTGGACAAGTTATTTCTGTTGCCTTTAATAAGATTCAGGTAAATAAAAGAAAGAGCTGTTTTATCATTATTTTAATTGAACAAATTTTTTTTTTAATTTTTAGACGCGGCCTTTGAACTCTGAAAAAAGTTCATTTGAATTGTTCAGTCAAAAGTGCAAGTATAAATCGTCCAAGGCTCTGGTTGACTTCATGATCGATGTCGACTCCGAAATAAATCTCTTCCAGCATTACAATGTGGACTGCATTCTCGAAATTATGTTCCTGGCTACGTTACCTGATTACTCCAAGAGAAGAATCGGCGAGCTGGTCGTTGCGGCTTCTTTGGAAATTGGCAGAGAACTGAAGAGAGGAAAGAATGTTAAGACGCCAGTATGTATCAACAACGACGATACTATCACAAATAAGCCATTAGTGCCTAGTTTATCGTCTGCAATTATGACTTCGAATTTTTCGAAAAAGATCGCTCTTAAATTAGGCTTTGAAACATTGGCTGAGGTTAGTTACGATCGATTTGAATTCAGAGGTAAAAAGTTCAGCGAGAGAATAGGCGAAGCTGACAAAAGTTGTGCCTTGGTGGCCAAACGACTGAAGAATTAATGTATTTAATAATTGGAGGTTAATTAATCGTTCATTAAATAATACACAGTCAATTGCACAAATAGATTCAGTGCTTTTGACCGACAGTTGGACATTATAACGATCAAAATAATTCCTTATCAAAAAATAATTTATAATTACTTTGTACTTTCATTTATCTTAAAGATCTTGAATATTTTTTATTTAAACATCATATTAATTTATCATTAACGCCAGTTCTATCTCATATGAGATATTGGTATGTACCATCACCTGTTGTCATCATTAATATACTGATCACAATCATATATACTCAAATTATTTAATGTATACGTTGTACTCATTAAAAATACTTTAATTACATCTGTTACGAATTTTTATATCTTACACATCTGAATCCCACTGGTGGATTCTTTGAGGATCTTATACTGGAGGATGCAAATATCTATATCAATCTACTTGACCTTGACGACAAGATGATGAAATTCAAATAAAAAATTGCTTGGTGTATGATAAGATTTATTAGCATGAAAGCATTGTAATCTATATAGCATATACGTAGTATACATGAATTAAGAAATCAGGGTTAGGCTTCTAATATAATAAACTAAGTCGATACGGTAAATGTGTCACCGAAGCCAGTACTATTTTGTTAGTCTACCAAGCAGGTGGCAGCTTCTCAAAATGAGGTAAGTTTGACTTTCGAGTGTATTTAAAATCTCCTGCTGGTAAGATTTTCATGAAATTCCGGAAATCATCGTACTTAATAACAATAAAACCCAGAGACGAGGAATGTGTATAAAATGAATGAAACTGTAGCTTAAAAAAATTTTCTCATATAACCGTAATAAATCACGGAAGAAATGAGCTATCAAGTAAAGTTGAATTGTTAATTAAAGAAAGAAAATTTATAATTTCCTTATAAATGATACAGGCTTATTATTTTATAAAAAAACTTTTCGTGTAATTATAAGTATTTTTAAAGCGCAGAAAAAACGTCGCCGTACATATTATTATCAGACGTGATCTAGACCAGATTATACTGCCCTAACATTCTTATCTGGGACGCACGGTCGTACATCTATACAGCATGTAGCGAATATTTTCAATGATACAATATAATTGTTAAAAAAATGTATCTGTAAAAAAATCGTACACAATCTTCATGTTTAATATGCTCATGTAATGCAATTTGAAGTGCGCAGTTTTTGGTTATATATAGATGCGAACGTGTCAATCAGTCGTAGTTTCTTTACTGATTAGAATTAAGTGGTTTTAACTATCACGAATCGTAGATAAATGCAGCGACTACTGCAGTGTAGTGCAGAACCGCGTACAGTGTAAATGCTAGATTTTAAAATGTTAAAAAGAGTTTTCCAAAACTGACATATTATTTCGATCCATTGTATTCACGTACAGTGTAAGTTAGAGTACATATTCGACAGCGAGTTTCCAAAAATTATTATAATAACAATGCATTAAGTACAGATATTACGTAACAGTTTTAATATATTTAAAAAAATCAAAATACCGAAACAAATTCTGCTCCAAGTAAAATACCCTCTAATAATTATTTTAACAACACTTAACCACCAGAAATAGGATTGATTTTGACACATGTAATTTGCAGTCCTCAAGAAATGTACAATTACGTAGGCGACGGCCCAAATGGTGTCATAAAATACGTCAGCCTTACCGACGACAGAGTAGAAGAGGCCATCGCGGTGCAACAATGCTCCATGTACCAGGAGTGCATTGCTTTAGGCGTAGACATGTACGGTGAGACTGGCGCAGCGAAAGAGATGCAGATCGTCTTCAGGGAAGTCATCAAAGATGGCTGTAGTGTCGTAGCAATAGACGTCAATACCGACCGAGTGATAGCAGTAGCGTTCAACAAGTTACACGCGAGTATAAAAACTATATGACATAAAAATCGTAAAATTTCTTAACTGTATATAAATATTTTATCCTCCTGATTCAGATGGCATTGACGAATGGGAGAAAGGATCCACTGGAAATATTCGTGGAGAACAATATAAAATACAAAGCTTGCTTGGGACTGATAAATTTTTTGGGCAACGTAAGTTGACTGATACTTAATTGGGAATTAAGATTGAATTTTTACGTGGTACGAATAACCTTATTAGGTTAACTGTAGGGGGAACTAATTTTGTTTTATTCTTAGATCGAATCCAGTGTTGATCTGTTCAAAAAGTACGATGTGTCTAGTACGATGGAGATCTTCTACGTAGGCACGGACCCCAGGTATCGAGGTTGCTCAATTGGTCAGAGAGTGGTTGAAGCTTCCTTGGCATTGGCGCGTTGCATTCGTAATAAGAAATGCGGTAAAACTCCCATAGGGAAGGAATTGACTAATCGTCACACAATTCCCGAAGTTGCCTTTGGCGTCTTCACGTCGGAGTACAGTCAGAGAATAGCTGCGAAATTAAACTTTGAATGGTTAACGACTGTGTATTACGAGCAGTATTATTACGAGGGTAAAAAATTCTCAGATAGAATCGGAGATATTCATAAAACGGCTAGACTGGGGGCAATTAGATTATGATGCAATTAAATTTTTGTTGTCACAAAAAATATTGCTGTTTTAACACCGAGCTAAATAGGAGTGTTCAAAAATTTGAATTAAATCGTATTATGGTATAAAATGAAGCCAGTGTTAAGTGATAATTTTGAACAGTTTAACACACTGTGTGGTTATTCAGCCCACAGACACCACTTGAAGTTAAAGCGCCCATATGATTCTTATAATAAAACCACATTCAAGTTGTGCGTTTGGGCGGAAAAACTAGGCACATGTATATGTATGTATACATATAGTTAGATAATAAAGAGTTATAGCTTAGATCGTGGCACTCGATTAATCTCGATAGACTCAAAATCAATTATCTATATAATATATCCAAATTAATATATATGGAGAAGAAAAAGAGTATATAAGGAAGCATTGCGAAAAGGATACGAAATTTTAAATCGAAAAATAACCTAATAATTCACGCACATCATTTAAGATTGGCTTGTGTAATAATCGAGACGGTATATCGATTATGTCTTTTTTATACAATTATATTAATACACATAGAGAATGAATTATATATTAAAACGAGTAAGTATACGTTATAATTGAGCACACTGATTAAAGTATACAGAAAGACAGTAAACTTAATAATAAATATATATATATAATAACGATATAACTGCAATATAATAAATTGATAAATTCTATTCAACATAACAAATATGTACCATAAGACATATTGTACGAATACGCTTGCCTCTAGAAATTAATTTTCTAAGAACGCCTTATCGTCGCCGCCATCTTTTATTCTTAAAATTGATGTCAGCGTCCACGAAACTTTGAACAAGTGTTTTTCTAATCCTAAGCATACTTGCGCATTGGCTATTAAAAGCCACTTATTATATTAAATCGGCCATTTTGTTATCCGGTATGGCGTTAAGAATTACGAAACGTCTTTGGCCGTTATATGAATATGTCAAAATTACAAAGCCCACAGGTCCTCGAATACGTTAAATACCATACCATACGTTAAATATAATGACACGTACAGACGTCATTTGTATATTGACAGCAACAGAATAAATGTAAAAATAACAAATGACATTTTGTGCTAGAAAATATATATGCGTATCCTAGGATCGATTTGCGATTTTCTTTTACCGCCGGAGGACAAGAATTAATTATTTATCGATCAACTTTACAACGATTCAACAACTTTTAACATCGAGTCTAGGAATTATTTGCTTATTCTTTTCGTTTCTTCGTCCATCTTGTTATGGACGATACGTTACAGTAAAGATTGTGGATTGGCGTGTTATTGTTTTTGTATATTTTTATTCCCCCTCTAACTAATCAAGATGCGCGTGTTTGATTATTTGTTTCAGCGCGCATTGAGCAGACTTTCGTCAGTTTTAGGGAAATTGCGTTCCCACTGTTAAAAGAAAAATTAAATTGCACGATTAAATACATGCTAATAAGTCCTATGTATACACAACATACGTCCAGTAAAATTGGACTGTCTAAAATCTAAAATTCTTTTATTTTTGTCGATTCGTCACCTCTATTCTTATTTATTTTTTTTTTCAATTTACGGTAAAATCAATTGTGTATTAGTGTTTTGCTTTATTTCTTCCTTATCGTTCAATGTAAATCGTTTCTTTTCAATTTTTGATTTCATTATAAAAAATCTTGGACGTATTTAACTCCTCGCTGTGGAATGACCAGTGGCGCATTTTCAACGTGTTTATAATCTCTATCTCTCTTATATCGAATTAAATAATTCTCTAATAGTTATTCATACCAATAATAATTGTACCGTAGCGACAGGACGTTTCGATTCTCTATCCTCTTTTTTTTTATTTTAACTTTTTCCTTCCTTCGCACATTACGTAAATATTTTATAGTTTCAGTTAAATTGCGCATTAATGCGACAGCAACGGTCGTTACGTACTAATAACCAGGAACCGTCGTTCACACGAAAAATTTGGCACAAGAAAGTCATTCCGTTTTGCGTGATTGCATCATGGATACGTGATTTAGCAATTTCATTAATACTATTTGAATTATTCAATCTTCGCGCTAAAACGTGATAACAAAAGAAGAAGCAGTAAAGATACAAAAAAATAATCAAAAGAATTATCAACAAGACTCAACGAGTAATTAAGTGATGAAACGTTAAATTAAATGTTGTTCTAAATTACTTAAAAATATTATACCTGCTACATTAAAATATTAATGATTAATTACAATAATAAAACTTAATATTTTCCTAAGTCCGTATATGTACATAAAACGGATAATATTTCTGTATCCTTGATTCGTCACGTATTACTAATGCCCTTGTGCAACTTTTAAGACTATACAGAGCTGCTTTTACACGTATCTGCGATTATATAAAACATCTCATGTGACACAAAGAGACCTACGTGCGCGCATAGCATCACAATAATACTGAGGAGCCCTACGATTCGTAGCAATAAATATTTTTGGCTTTTTATCTTTGGCAAATACGTTACGCTTATCTTCGAGAATTTAAGGAGGCACGAGCCAAGTAAGTGCCGAGTGCCCAGCAAGAGGTTGTAAGAAAAAATTAAAAAAACAACCATGAAGAACAAGAGAGACGAGAACGTTATTAGTATAAAAAGAGCATGAACAGACTATACCTTATACAATAACCGTATTGCTGTGTATAATGAAGGCATATATACGTGGTAGTTATTTATCGATAGAATTATTGAATAAAAATGGACCAACTGAAGTTAGCTTTACCATAGATATTAAATAGACAGGCTTACTTCAGTTTGTACATTTAGCCTGAATAGCTCTGTATATAAAGAGCACGTATAAGGTATACCTGGTACAGGACACTTCAGTACCCCAGCTAGTGTCTCCGTGAAATCCTCAGACTGTACTAACAAGTGTTATAAGTACCGACATCAACCATCATCCAAAATATCAAATATTTTCGTTATCAAAATAAAATATAAATTGGCAATAACGTGACTTGATGGACGTCCTCTTTTTTTAATACATAGGAAACAGTTTTCTTGTTATTATTTTCTTTTTGCATTATTTGCTCATATCTCGTCGTTCTCGTAACACGCGTGGCTGCCAGAAATACGACACCTGAACCTTCGACATGCCTCTTTCACACTTCCGTATTCGTCTGACCTCGTCCCTTGAGAATAAAGTTCTATTTATTCATTCTTCCCTCTGGTATTTTACTTTCATGGGATTGAGACGAAGTGCGACAGACGGGATCTGACTTTCTGAATGATTCATCTGTGACAAGGCTCCCGCTGGACATCCGAAGGTTGCATATTTTGATAAGGTAGCTGAGTGTCCCTGAAGTGTGCCCTTACTAAAAGTCCAAGTCCCAGGAGCACAACGGGAAGTCCAAGTAAGGCGCAGATTAATTCGCCGGTTACACCAGGTGACCAGGAGATGGTACCTGTTACAATGAATATTTTTGATCCTCTGTAGTTATTAGAAACTTTAATAAGGTGACTATATATATTTCTTGTTAACGTAATAAGAGAAAAATAAATGATTGTAAATTTGACAGACAATATGGGCTTCCGAAAGAGACAGAATAATAATGGTAAAAAAAATCGTTCACTTGATATCTCCTTTCATGGCGGCTGACTTTGTGAAATTCAAAAATACCCACCTCCATTCACGCCGACGTCCATTTTGTAAATACTCCACCAAATCCCTGATAGGGGTAGCGACACGGTAGCTGCAGCCACCGTAAAAACTGCACTTTCCGTCATGGCCAGGAAGTTCATACTGGAGATGGCGAAGACGACGTAGGAGAAGAGGAAGGTCCATCCATGACCGGAAACGTTGGAGCAAGTGTTACCACCTCGAAAGTGACAGCGTAAACCATGCTGAACAGTCTTGTAAAGTTCGACTGGCGAAAGACCCTGATAGTAAAAACCAAAATTAGCAATAAAAAATACCAAAGTCCACAATTTTCATATATAAAAATTCGAAAACAAACCCTTCCGATACCAGGTAAAATATCCAACCAGCTAAACGCCAAGATAACAAGGAAGGTGATAACGTGCATGTGGAACAGCGTTCGCATAATGGGCGGTTTAGGGTAAGTCTTTGGCTTGATCGAAGGATCCGGATCGGTAACATGTAGAAGACGTCCACCCTCCTCTTCAGAACCCCTACGTCGAATATCCCTAGATGAGACCAACCTGGACACCGTATACAGGAAGGAATTGTTCTGTGTAGTAAGAAGCTGGCAGACGTTTTGCTGCTGGAAAATAATGAAAAACCATCGTACAGATATCTGAAAGAAAAGAGCCCTTAAATATAACTCACCCCAGTAGCATAATGACTTTCCAACATGGTGAAGACCATAGCAAAGGCTGCCAGGGCACCGACGTATATAAAGGTCCATACTGCCCTGGTGCCCCAGGATCCTCTCATGGATGCTGTGTGTGCAGAGACTTCACGACCTCGACAACGAAATTCATCACAGAGGCCATAATCGACACTTATAAACAGACCCACTATAATAGTAGTAGTGGAGAAGATGCGCTGCAGACTCATCACTGAAACACAATAAGTAATTGATATATAAACCATCCCTTAATTCACCCCCAGATATAACGACCATCCATTGAGCATCCATACACAGTAAACTGGAGTGACTTACTTTTACGGCAGAAGAAGAAGTAGTAGACCAACGAAAAGACAAGGGTGATCCCTTTTATGGGGTCCTGAAGATGACACAGAACTCTATTCTGATCCAGGGACAGAGTAATGAAGACACCAGCCAGGGCGTAGAGAGTGGCAATCTTCATGAGGGCGCATCGCGCTATCTTTACTCGCATACTGTTAGGGATTAAGGGTGGTGGCGGTGAAATCCTCCCCACCAGGAAGCTCACCATCCCCAATATACCAGCTGATAAGAGGGCCGTAAAGGTAAGACCTGTTGAAGTAAACCGGATCTGACGTATATTATCAAGTAACAAAAAAGTACATGGGTTTTAATTGTACAAAAGATGATCAAGTGTCAATGATTAGAAATTCTAGGAACGATAAGGATTTCTTTTATCTTATAAAACAGGTGTTTTATCATCCTGGCTCGTGTCATTGGTGAATCGATACCTGTGTAGGCGTTGGAAACAGCGCTGACACTTTCAAGATAAAGTGGGAAGCTGATAATGAGTGTGGTAACCGAGGCGATGACGGTGCAGAGGGTGGCCAAAAAGCCAAATTTTTGCCAGCCAGGTTGATCCGTGTCGAAAAGTTTATCAGTCGGTTGATAGGCGGCATATGGCGACTCCTCGGTGTCTGTGTATTCCTCGATTTCTACATCACTTCCGGTGCAACGTAGCTCTTCCTGTTCCTCGTCGTCCATCATCGTCGAGACACAACTCGTCAGGCTCGCCAGGTTGACGAATATTAATATGCTGAAACAAATATCTTTATGTAGAATATATATTTTTCTCTAGCATCATTCTAGGCCAATCATTCGTCATCAACAGTAATCATTGAAATACAAGGTACGAATGATCGTGGTACTAAGAACTTTTAGTACACCCTGTAGAACGAATATATTTATGTACAGAACACAGATAGCTGCAGATTTCGAATTTTTGTGTGTACTCAAGGGACAAATATTTTGTGGCTTTTGTCTGCCATGAATCATTAGGCATTTGAGTACGTATTAGAGTCCATATGTCTCTTCTTCGAGATTAGATAATTTTTGTGATATTTTTTTGACCCTGGTCTCGGACAAAATATTGTCCCTAAATAGCAGGGACTGTAAATTAATGGATTTTCAGTCAATTTTGTCCGGTTTGTATTCCTTTTATACGATCAAGTGTTAATCTTATACTGAATATACATATATTGTGGTTTCAATTTTTTTCAAAGCGATGGTAAAGCTGATAAAGTAATTAGTACGGATGTTATATGAATCCCATGTATTTTTTATTATTTTAATATTAAATTTACATACAGAGTGAATTTTTCCCTCTTTTCTATAAAACTTGCGTATAGATTTTTCACTTGGTTATTGGCAGATTGGCAATTTTCCACGATTGGCACAGTGGAAAACAATGCTATTTTGCGGTTATTTCATTGGATCGTTCTATATAGCTAACAATATGGAGACTTGGAAAGTACGTGGTCAATTTCCGAACAAAGAAACGAATTTCTAGCGATATTCTATTTTCTTTACTTTTTCTCTATTTTGCCATTCTTTACCGGAGGCCACTGAACTAATCAGCTAGAACCCGAACAACGGAGAAAGGAATTGAAGGAAGAAGAAATGAGAGAAAAAATGAGATTAAAGTATCGCGCTTATCGCGGGGCGCACGAATGATAATAAATACGTAAAATAAACATGGAAATAAATTAAACCGCAAGCTTGATAGTTCCGGTAATCTCCAAGAACGATAAACTTTTCTATTGTATCACGTATCTAAAAGCTCGTTGGCCTATCCTTTTTATCAATTCCAAATTTGGACACATTGCGTTTCCAAATACATCCTTACATAATATACCTAAGTACGTCTGTATATATATAAGGTACGGTAAAACTGTAGAATACGATTCCTTCTTGAAGGACTACATGTAAAAAAAACTTCAAAGAGTCGTATTTTACAATTTAGCTCAAATCTGACCCTGATGATATTAATCAAAGAAAAATAAATTTAAAGTTTCGATTGATCAAAAACGCCACAGGTTATGAAACATCAAAGGAATAAAGATGATATGTTGTATTATGAATTTCTGACACTGAAAACAATGGAAGGTGCAAATACGTGTATGTATAAAGTTCCAACTCATTGTTTGTAAGTAAATAAACAGTAATGGCAGTTATTGTTTTAAGTAAAGTAAAAAAAATGACTTTAAAATTTATGAAAAAGATTGAAAACATACATTGAGTCAAATAACTTACTTGCTTCGTAGAAACCTAACCTGCCACCGCCCAGACAGACAATCAGAAACTCCTATTCAGAGACGTCTCAGTCGTTCCAGGATAGATTTGTGCGTTCGATCAATACCTCCTGGACACTCACGAGATTTTTTGAGTTTAGGTAATGTCACGTAGATTAATTAACGGGATCGTTAGTCAAGTAGAATGTAATTCGCGAAAAACACAGCGTCTCTTCGGAGATGCTTCGATGGGAGACGTTCCACCCTTGACGTTTATTGCGCATGCGCAAACTCCTCTAGGGTAAAGTTGCCACTGCGCAAGTCTTTATGACATTAACATATTAATATAAAAAAGCCGACTGAATTATTAACTGCATCGCGGGACCAAAGAATGACTTCCTTTTTTGTTCTGCGTTTAGTGCCGGTTATACAAGGTGTCTGAATATTTTTTCAACAAAAATTAACTCGCGTAGTCAAGCAATTCACCCATGGCCGCCATTGCGTATTTCGTCCCGCTTATAATTATTTATTCATAGAAGTTGATTAGTCAAGTTTAATCCATTGCGAGAACTTGGATCAAGCGTGTGGTACTGAGCACTTTAATTACAAGTACGTAGATTTTCGTGAGAGTCTCGTTATCGTGATAATCTAGGATTCAAATTTTAATAATTTAATTAATTTTTTAATACCGTTACGTATACACTAGGCTAATTGGTATGAATTACGGTGACTTTTTCTTTCAAGTGGATTCAAAATTAATTTTCATAAAAATGTATCATTTTTTTAATCAGAAATCTCTGGGGATCCGAAACTCCTTGTGAATCGTTACGCAGTTCAATTGTGACAACAATGCAGTACTTTGAATGGATTTTCAATGGCCGCGTGCAACCGAATTGATATAATCCAAAATGAAAGCCGAGGCAGAGGGATGATTGCAGTTATTCATGAAATATTATTGACTGTCCTACACAGAAATGGATCTACCTACAGAATGTACAAAGAAAATGTTTGCCATAGTTCGTTTTACAAGAAGGGGTTCCAATAATATATACATATATATAAATATATATAAATTGATTGTTGCAGTTAAAATTAATTAAATCAACGCCCGAACAGGTATGACGGGAAATGGTTTTAATTACCCTTTTTATACAAGGTAACTCTAATGAATTTACATTCTTTCATTTAACCCTTTTCAGGCTACCCACCATTATTGGAAAAAAGCTCACCCCATGATTATTTTTTCCGTGCTTTGAGCGTCGCGTTTTATATGTTCATTATATTTGCTTTTTTCCCCTTTGTTAAGAATTTCACAAAGAAAACAGACCATCCGGACTGTACACTTTGTCAACGAGAGAATTACGTAAAAGAAATGTTTTTTTTTTTTAAATAATGCTTCCTTTTAATTTTCTTAACATTATATTCATTTTGTCTCTCGAACAATACATTAAATACTATTAGTCTCAGGTCCTTAAGATTGGCTTTACTATAGGATATGTACCCAGTACAGGAAATTGTGGAAAACGTCAAATTCTCCAAGTCCCAGCATGAAGACATCCTGTTTGGTACTTATTGTTAGAGGGGAGTTAAGATGTCAGCAACACGCGCTGTTGCTTCTCCTGTAGCGAAATAGACCCACGTAGTATCTATACAATATATAACTATATATTGACTATAAGGAAGTTATCAAAGAATCAGGTGTTCTCAACCAGGAACGAATAATAATTTCAAGATTGAATTAAAAATCGCTTTTCTATATTCCCATTAATGGAATTTCATATACCATTTAAGTGACGTGTGCGTACAACGCTAGTCAAAAACATATGGCGGCCATTTGTATATTAGGTACTCAGAAACAGTCCTGCTCAGCTTTTCGTTTAAATGGCAACGAAACTATATATATAAAGTTATTATTCAACTTTTAATTGAATCATTAAAATATAATCAAGAATGTTATGGCCTCGAGGAATCTCCTATTACTAAACAAAAGTTATTTGGCCGAGGCGGAAAGTTTTTCGAATTTTTTAAAATTTTTCACAGAATCCTGATTCAACTTCTTGTTGATTGCTCGAACGATGAAGCTGATGCTCTTATAAGGTATAGAACAACGATCAGATGAGACGATCGAGAGAGACTTAAAAATATTACAACACGTAATAAGAAATTCTTGGTAGTACGCGAATTTAACACCAATGGAGTTAGCGTTGACGGAGTTTTAACGACGAGGGTGTTACGTGCGTAACGCATGTGGTTCGGCGTCGATAATTTACACACGTAAGAAATAAAGTGGCGGTCTGTTTTTCTTTAACATCATCTCCATCTCATTTCATCTTGATAAACCGTAGCGCGCTTGAAAACGTAGTCAAAAACATTAGAAAGTCACCGCCATGGTCCAGATACAGTAATCAGTGCAGTGAACCTTAACTATTGAAAAAAGGATCGTAAGTTTGTAGTAAATATAAGGAAAAAAAAAAGAATAAAATAAAATAAAAGTACACCTTGAAGTTGGCGCTGAAGATCGATATATAATTAGCAACGTAACGTAACCTAACCTAACATTCTGTTGACATTGGTAGTCATAAAACAGTCAAGCCTCTAAGAGCCGCCTGAAAGACCGTTTATCCACGAGAAGCCTTGTGACAAATAGGCGAGAAGAGACATAAGAGAGATTTATTTATCTTGGGATCCAAAATGTCATATTATTATCCATATGTCACGTGAGAGGAGCGTGCGTACTGGAAGTAATGGAGGTATCGTTAATCTTTCTTTTTCTCACTTCGCTCCACGAGACAATTGTAAATGTGTTTAAGAGTCACTCATCCGTTTCCTTACTTAAGAAAAATGTACTCACAGCATATATTTTCATCCAGCTATTACGTAGGGTCGAAGTTCATTCCACGTCCTTTGATTCCAGTATGCAAAGGGTCTATTTTTCTACGGAATTCATTTCACTCCCGTCCGCGAACGAAACCCCGACGGGAGAATCGATAAGAACTAGGTTAATACGATCAGGTAAAGAGGACTTCTTTAGCCTACGTTGAAATTCTATATTTAGAATGGATATAGACGTATTACGCACTAATATATAAACCACAAGACTACACCAGCTTAGTGTATTACATTAGTTGTAAACAGTGATAACTATTCCTAACACAAAGTATACTACTATGATGGATGATTAAATAATAAAAACAGTACAGAAACTTCTAAGACATTCAGAAGAACTTTCATCCCACAAAGAAGTAATTGCAATAAGAAATATTGTTGCTATGGCAGAATGTTGTTTTGATAAATTTAATTATTTTTCCCAGAAACTTATTGCATTATATGATGCAACATCGTTTATGTCGATTATAATAGCCTGTGTCTTAAAAAGAATATTATGGGGTTAAAAAACTTATATTTTCATGTCTAGAGGTTACGTTGAGACGCTAAGGTCTGTTTAGACTGGGAAGATATCATCGATACAGCACAAAAGTTCTAGAAATGTTTGGTAAGACTTCCATGGGACTTGTATTATCCGTTGAACATCTTCAGGACGTTTATGGAACTTTCGTGTCGTAGGGGCTTATATATGTATATAGTGTACGAGTAAACACGTGCGTAATGTTAGGATTTCAGCGTACGTTGGCAAATATAAAATAGAAAAACCAATCGGTTCCAGGAGCCAGACGTAGATCCTATGGCGGCGTCCCTCAACGTTCCAACGGCGAATCTATAGAGGTCGCTTTGTTCGTACAGTCAGTCAGCGCGCGGCATCCGAACGAGACGTCTCGTGTTGTGGCGACGTCGGCCGTTAGAACAAGAGACTAAGTATCGTTAGATTTATCAAAAATTCATGGGTGTGACCATGGAAAGATAAAATACCAGAAAAGAAATAAGTGTCGACGTTCAGTTAAACAGTGTAGTAAAGAAAGCGTTGTGGAAGTGATAATTAAATTATTCAAATGATAAATAATCTGGATGATCGTGTCGTTCAGTTAACCCAGAACATTGTGTACAGTGACTAACGACAAGTTTATTGAAGTCAATAAAATAAGTGTCAAGGAGGGAGTTTTAATAATGATTATAAAAGAAATCGAGTAACAAATCGACCGTATTAATTGACGTAAAATAACAGGAAGAAAAAACAAAGAAATCGATTCGATCATTGACTGTTGGAATTATGCTGTACGATATTTGTGCTCGTAAATCATATCGACCTTTGGGCGAATTTTCAATTGACCTCGTTTACTGTCCCATTACGTTAACGATTCTATAAAAATTGACGTTACTATCGGTTCAACGGATTTCAGTCGGTATTTCTTACTGTACTGTTGTCATAGCATCTGTATATAGTTTGTACACGGCTATTATCTACTGATCTATATTCCAGTCGATCGTTGTTTGGAAAAGATTAAAATGCAGAATGCGCGACTGCGGTCGTCGCTTCCTATTGGAACGGGAACGGCTGTGCTTAAATGTGAAAGGAACTTTTACGACGGACTGATCGTTCGCGATATCGATAACGGTGAGCAGACCTTAAATACACCAAAACGATCGATGCAACGATAGAGGAGAGATAATAACATATACTGTTAGTGGTAATTAAGAAATGGAGTTGAGTGTTTAAATGTGAATAAGAAAACAGGGTGAATAAGTGTGTCGAAGAAATACAAAGAGAGACAGAGACAGAGGAAGGAGAAAGAGAGAAGAGAGAGAGAGAGAGAGAGAGAGAGAGAGAAAAGGGTGAGTACAAGAATGGAAGTTGCGAGCTAGATAAGAGATAAGAAAAAATAAGTAAATCCGTTAATGGACTGTCAAAATAAGTCTGAGATTTCATCGAAGGCTTCGTCATTATAATTTATACGTCGGGCGATTATACCTTTGAAAACTCAGCCAGAACTATGGCGTTCTCATACAGAGAGTCAAACAATACACATCCGTGTATAGTTCGTCGTTAGATAGCAAATTTGTTAATTGAAATTACTTATTCGCCTTTCGTATTCGCTCTGTTGTACTACTTGAGCAGTAAGTAGTAAAGCTCCCTTTTCAATCGGACGTCTCGTGACGCACGTCTCAAGGAAGTAATCTGGACACTTATCAATCCTAGAGATTGACAATGGATACAACAGTCGCGTAGAATATTTTATTTTTAATTGTTACGTAATCATTGGAAAGGGACACGAGAATAAGAGAGAGATTTTTTATCATGGGAGATTGAGACGTCTGCTTTGTTCTTCTTCTGGAACTTCGCCATCCTTGCGTTCGGCAGCGTTTTCCAGCTTATCGAATCGTTGAGTTCAGCAGCTTCATGGAGGAGCAGTATGATTTTTTTCGTTCGATGATCTTGCCTGCCTATTGTTTGTTATTGGGTATCATGAGGCGTCTTATCAGCGGTAAACCTATTTGATGTTTTTTTTGACATAAATTTGTGTGAAAACCAGGAGACAGCCAAGAACTGTTTACCTACAGAATTGATTACACATATAGGTTATGTCATGACTTAGGACACTTGGGAATCTATCGAAGTTGATTGGACGACTCTGGTACTGTTCAATGGATAAGTGGACCTCGTAGAAGTGATCGTGGTAAGGAGTGTTTGTTTGCAGAAGCACACCCGGTATGTTTTCTCAGGGATACTACATATTTCAAAGACTCAGTGACGTGGGGGCTTGCAAACACGAGTATATCGCTATTTGAAAATGAAACTGAAATCGCTGTAGGAATTTTATTAGTTCAAAATGGTAGCAGTCCAAATCTGGATAAAAATTTTGAAATTAAAAAAAATATACAGCATCTCACACGAACCTATACGCAACATGTTATTTTTGCCTGGGTTCTTTAGTATTATTATACATATGTATATCGGTATATATTTTTGTTACATTATGCAATACTGATTAACTACTTTATAGTACCACGGCTCAGCTTTACTCCCTACTATTATTAGTCCTTATCCTTCTGGCCATTATCGATACGATAATGGAGGCTGCTTGTTGATTCCCGATGCGCTCTCAGAGTTGTCGCTGATTGCTATGAATGGGGGGGATTGAATCGAATGAACCAGAATATGGATTTATACTTAAAAAAGAAAACAGAGGGAATCAACAGTCGGTAGCATCGACGTTGGCATTTTCGCAAAAACAACATGACCAACGTGCATTTACACTGAGTACTGTCACGTACACGTGATTCTCTCGAGTTCACGTGATCTACTTTCAAGGTCATCCCTAGAGCAACTTTTTTTTTCTTCCTTATTTCGTCCGATCGCTCTTGGAATATCCTACCCGTAATTTTCCTCCTTCAAATAATTTGTTATTCCTACATTCAACAGGAGCAAGTGTCTCGAGCGGCCATATTGAAAATTTGCATAGCTCGTTAATTCGTGAAAATTTAATCGTTAGACTTGCATCCTCTTCTAATTTATCTTTTTCAAATGACCTTCGTATCCTGTAACGACAATGCGAATCTCCTTAAGGCCAGCTTAACACGTTATCACAAAAATATCGACACCCTTCATCTCATTTTCTGCAGCTAATGATAAATCGTTTCGTTTATCACGAGAGTGTGTACCGGATCGATGCTCGAGTAAAGATATCAACGAGACGCTCGCGTGCTCAAAGTGCGACAACGGTCGCTGCCCGTTGAATGCAGTCCGTCGGTTATCCGTTAGAGTCAGGTCTAACCCAACCTAACCCCCACTCGAAGTCCAACCCGAGCAACACGTCAATCCAAGTTTATCCGGCATATAATGGGAGTTCGAAAAAGGAAAAGAAAAATCTCGACATGTAAAACGCGACTAGGCTTTTTTTATCGATATTATTATTATTCGCTATTATTTCCACACACGAAAATATTACGGTCATCGTGAGAGACTTGATTTCAAGATGGCGGATCAAGATCGCGCCAACCTTCCCGAGCTTTCTTCAACGACTCCCTCTACGTGGCGTGTTCACGTGACACGTAATTTTGGCATAAAATTTTCGTCACTTTTCTTGGCTTTGAAAATTACCCAAAACCGTTGTTATTGCTTTCAGTATTTTCACGCGAAACATATCGTTCGTCCGGGTCTTTCTTCCCGTAGGACTGCTTGTTATCGTTTACCACCGCAACGTGGCGCTACCGTGCACAGAGGTCGGCGTCGTATAAATCTTCGGAGGGAAGCGAACGAAAGGGGTGGGGGACCCCCATGCATCAAAGTGGGTTAATGCTAACGCAGTTTTCAGAGTTAACGAGCACAAGTCCGATAAACTGTCTGTAATTTTTAAGGCGTCACGGGGCTGCGCTAATGGCGTTAGGCAAAAGTTGTATCACCGCGTGCGACGGCAATGGCGACGACGTCGTCGGGGTCTTGGTGGCGGTTCGAGGCTTTAATTAATTTATGCTAATTCCAAGACACCTCGCGCGAACATCGTTCCTCTACGTATCTGTTTACATACTTTAAAACGTCCGCTGAAATATAAACTCCGGACAAGGTCTGATAATGATTTTCTGTTTTCTTTTTACGTGCGACCAAAATCTACCAATTGTTATTAACGAACCTTCGTACAGGATTACGTAAAATTGTTACAAAAAATTCTTCATATCTTCATTGCTGACAGTGGCCTCGGCATTAATCTCAATTGCATCGACGAAGGCTACGATATTACAAATAATTTTTCTGTCACTCGTAACCACGAATTTTGAGAATGGATACGTTCTTTACAAGCCAGCTGTACAAAGACTGTTCGGTGTAACGAAATTATAGTGATCGAGCAGGCGTCGCGACGCCTATCGTTGTGATTAACGTCGCTTCACCTATCCCTAATCAAATATCCCAACAGCGTTAATCGGGGCCACGACCGTCTATCTCGTAGGGTCGCGAGATTCAACTACGTGAACCCGGCCTAAATCTAAAGCCAGACCTTACGCCTATGCGATATAGATATACTATACCCATTGTCGTGTATATGTGCACAGTGCGGTCTCTGATATGTATCTCGCTGAGCATTGGGTTCACGTGTGTCTATATGCCGTATAATAAAGAGTAGATAGAGAAATAAATAAAGCAAGCCTGAAAACAAAGCCGTACAGAGAAGCGATAGCCGTAGGCGGTACGAATTTACTTTCTGTAATTATTATTCAGTACGGTGTGAACGAAGCCTTTGGGTTATTTCCTATGTTCCCTGGGGTATCTGCCTGCTCTAGAATTCTTGGTCGGGTTAGCTTGTTACTTTTAAAAAAATTTCAACAGTCACCGTTAATTAATACCTTGCGTACGGAACTTTATCGAAAGTCGGAAAAGCCCTGCCAAGTAACATAACATTGCCAAAGAGATATGACGCGGAGAATCACGTGGGCTAACGACGTGTTCGCTTCGATGGAGATTCCGACTGCTTTGTGGTCTGCGTTCATTTCAGTGTTGTCGCGATTTGAAAATCAAAAATTCAAGAAAAATATTTCACTGTATTTCTGGATGCACTTGGATTTATTATTACATTTTTTTTTTTTTTTCGATACATTTCGTACAGCTGATTTTTTAATTGAAAACTTATTAACGGAGCATCCCAATTTTTATAGCGTTCGAATTCGGCTACTAGGGTCAAGTGGTAGCCCAATACAAAGTATAGAGATAATAAGTCTGAGTGGGGTGGTAATACGAATGCAGTGCTAAGGCAGCGCGATGGGCGTTATAAGGAACTTTGAACTTCCCGTGTTTTCTCGCTCCAGAGTTCACTGACTTAGAATCGTTGCGAGACTCCGTGGTTATCAGTTACACGTTACCGATAATATACATTCCGAGAAAGGAATGTAACAAATTTTTTACTTTTTTAAATTATATGCTCACTTTTTTTTGCAATTAGTATATTTTATAGTTAACAAATTTATTGTTATATATATACATATATATATACATATATATATATATATATATGTGTATATACTGAAGTCTCCGTACCTGAAATCCTCGCTTTTATAATGTACTATGGAGTAGTGGATACAAGGCGATTTTGGTCGATGATCGTGCTTGGGACTGAAAGGGGTGGAAATTTAGGGGTGACGATAAAGCTATTCTATGGAATTGTATTATCCAGTGGTTTCTATGAGAAATTCTCGCGACAGAGGTTTCAATGTTATTTTAGCTCGATCGGAGGTACCTGTACGATCCTTGCTTCGATAGAAAAAAAAACCTTTTATTGAATTTGGTTATGGCTTTTTGGTAAGAACCGAAGTTTTTGATACGAGTGAGGGTAGGGAGAGGGGTGGCTTTATCCCCCGTAACCCTGAGCGGGCTTGTATACAGTTTTCGAATTAGATATTTTTTTGCATGCATATTGAAAATTTTTTTTATCAATTTCGTTTTTTTTTCCATATGACGAATGATCCGCTGATGGCTTTGCTTTTGCGGATTGCCGTAAGGGAGGAACAGACGATTCGTACGAAACAACCCTTAGGGCCACTGGCGTCGTGTCGCGAATGAAATTTAGTTTATATCCGCCCGACCGCTTTCGCTTATTCTGTTCACCAAGTTTGATTAATTTTCAACCCTCGCGCGTGCTTAAATTTACCCTCCGACGGGCGGGGGGGGGAGGAGGGGTGCTTTACATTAGATTCGTAGGGGTAGTTTCCTTCCTCGTACTTAGAGCATTTAATTCTTTTTATTCTACGAGTTTTTCTTTACTTGCGAGACTTATAGATTTTTTTATCTCTTTTTTTTTAAGGGGTGCCAAGGGATGCTTCGTGGGTTAGGTTCTTTTTTTTTTTCA